TGGCTATATAATAAATCATATTTATTGTGTGGCTGACCCACTTAAAGGTTTACTCTTTTGTACTTAAAATGTTTAAACATGGCGTGCCCCAAAAAGTAGGCAATACTTTTGTTCAGTACTGCTGCCTCACGTCTGCTGGAAATTGAAAACCGTCGCCGTGCTAGACACGTATTAGCTCGGCACATGTGTAAATCCAATTCAAAACATGCCACGTGATTCTCACCCTCCACCGCATCACAGTGCATTTTGTGCTGATGCTACAGCAATGCACAAAATAGTTTATTTTTTTGTTGTTGTTATTTTCCTTTTTTCCTATTTCTTTGCGCTGTTGAAAAATACGTTTAACAGCTGAACCACGTTCAGATGAGAACTGGTTGCTTGCCTTGATGGGTTGGTGGTTGTGGTGCGACGGGGCGACTCTGGCATTTGTCACGCGCCCCAAAACAAACTTTGTACACCCTGTCCCACATTGAGGGGTTGTTTCGTATTTGATTTTGGGACAGAGAATCAGCTGCAGCTGCATTCCGCAGTGCACAAAAATATTTGCTACAAAATGCAGTCGTCGGTCGAGTTATGCAAATGAAGAGAACGATGCAGGAAATGTGCAAGTCATGGACTCATTTTAAATGGGCCCCCAACAACAGCAACTACTGCCATAACTGGCAAATAAATATATAAATATAAATATGAATCTACAAAGGGAAAATTGACAGCGACCGGTTGCTGCCTGCCTGCCACTCAGTGTTGCATGCAACCGCTGTGACAAAAAGGCGCGCCCCAACTGTGTTTGGGCAATTCTCTATGCATAACAGCAGGAGCCAACAATATTTGTGATTGCTTTGTTCTTCGCCCGCTTCATTTAACTTCAAAAAGACACAGCTTGTTGTGGACTGATTGTGCGGATGGGGGGATTGTTGCGGGAAATTGAAGTGAAAGCCATACCCAGATGATGCATAAAAACGGGTTGGTCCTATTTAAATTAGCATGAGTGGACTTCAGACACTTGAGGGCAAAATGCCAAAAGTAATGTTAGGTGCTGTGTGGCCCCTTCAAAGGCAGCTAAAGAGTCGGGCCGGGTGTTTTCATGCCGCCTTCTCAAATGCAGCTCAAGTGCCATTTAGCATATTTTGGTGGCATGTGAAGTGGCTATGAAGCAGGCAGATTATGCGGTGCGGATGCGGTTGCATATGGTTGTGTCTGATCGGGAGGTGAGATAAAGTCGAATAAAGTCGAAAGTCGAGGCCACAATGCACGCGTGAACTGTCCTGAAAGCAGATGCAGCTAAGTAAAGTTTTTCATTTGCATCATGACGCGCATACAAAAAAGATAACGAAAAAGAGGAAGAGTTTTGAGTGCCGATGGTTAAACACCCTAACTAACAAAGAAACCAAGCAAAACATATCAAGCTTTAATGAATTTAATGCATTAACTTAGGCCTAAATCTAATTACTTTCTGTGTGCTATAAGTGTTAGTATGTATATTAATATGTTGATATATATAACATTGCTTTTTATTTGCATAAATGAAGCATACAAAAAAAGGAGATTCTAGTTAGGATATCTTTTAAAACTCACTTCAATGGGATGATATGGGGATGCGATCACAAAACTAGACTTGTTTTTTTTTTTAGTCAGTTTAAAAAACGGAGTTAGCTCAGCTTTTCGCTCGGATTATGATGTTATTAACATAATGGGTTGAAAATTGTTTTCCTTAGAATGTTGGCAAAAATATAAAATTTCTTAGAACTCAACCATGCGTTGAACTGTCAACAGAAAATGAAAAATATAAAAAAGTAAGCGTATCCATTTGCTTGCTTATTTCGAGGTATAAAAAACGCATTTTTATTTCACGCGATGAGTCCCAAGGACTAAAAGACGCATACCACAGACACACACAAGCCATAAAGTGGCTGTTTCATGTTACGTTAAAGTCGGCTGAACGCGACAAATTTGCAAAAAGGTGGGGATAAACGTTGCCGAGCTGGCAATGGGTGGGGAGGAGTGCGACTCAAGAACAAAGCAAACGCCCCAAAGGGGCGAATAAAAATGTAAGCATCTGCATTTATGACTTTTGCGGCAGGCTAATCTGATGCTGAGCATGTCAGGACATCAGCAGCAGCCACCCCTCGATGCGACAAAGCAGAGCTTGGAGCCAAGGACTCACAGCACATGGCCAGTGCTGTAGATGTCGTCAGGGCGACAGACAAACAAACATGTAAAGATTGTAATTAACATAAAATTAATATCAACATGTTAGAGGAAGTCCTGGGCAGAGCAGCACTGGGAATAGGGAACGGGCAACCAGTCGACTGTTAGCTGGCCTCTTGTCGGAGCTCAAGACTGCACAATTACCAGTACAAGTGAAGTGCACACATACACATGGATATGTCCTTGTTTGCCGCCACCCAACTTGTCTGTGTGTGTGTGTGTGTGAAGCGGAACCGGGGGGTGGCTGCTGTTGATCTTGATTATATGTAGCTTAGCTTGTATCCTGAGCATTACAAGCAGCTCACTCGGATGCTCTGTTGAGCTGCTGTCGAAGACACAAATTATTTGTACCATTTCTGTAGCGTTTATATTATATTTACACTCAGGTGTGTTACTGAAATAAAGTTTAGCTTTCCCCTTTATACCAATTACACACAAATTTTCACAAGTATTTAGGTTTTATTTTCATTTCAGTTGTTCACAAATAACAATATTACAATATTTTTGCAAAGTTCTTTCAACAGGATAACATTTAATATTGCTTTCATTGAACATAGCTGTGTAAATATTCTTTTATTTTCCTAGCAAATATTTTTAATATCGCAAATCGTTTGCAAAGTTCAGTTCAATTATATCCATTTTGTAAACGAAATATTGAATATTTAGCTGGGGCGAGCCTTACAGTTAAATTTACAATACTATCATGTCAATTATATTGTTATTTGTACTAAAAAACACCATTCGATTTCTTTTCTAGAATAAATATTTTGATGTCAGCAATATCAATTACATTTACAACACACTTTCAAAATTTGCTTGTTGGTTTTTAATTGCATGCGTAACAGAATTACATGACGAGTAACAAATGAAGGCGAAGGCGGTAGCTCATTTGGCCAGCTGGTTGTTTGCCGGTTTGTTAAACAAAATGTAACGTTTTGTTACAAAAAAACCTTGTTAACGATTTGCGGCTATTTGTTGCCTTGCAGCAAATCCCGGCTGGAACACGCAACGCTTGGGGCCTACCTGGCTGCCATCAACATTAGTCGTTGCCCATGAGCCGCCTATAATTATGCATGTTGCGGCTTAAAGGCGAGACGCATAAAACAAGCGTCAGCCAAGGACCAACCGCATCTATGGCACATGCACATTATCAGTTTGTTTGTGTGCGTATAGGACAGCAGTCGCTCTCGCGGGACTTCATGTGCTTTGTTGCCCGCCACGCCTTAATTATGCACCAACTGCAGCAGCAGCAGCAGCAGCAGCAGTAGCAACTGCCACACGGCAATTGCTAGTTGCTCCTCACATTAAGGTCCGTCTGGGGCAACGCCTCTTTCAATTGATTTATAGCCCTTTGTTATTTTAAATTTTTATTAAAGTTACACTTTATGCTTAAAACTAGCGTATATAGCTCGTTGGTGTATTTGGATTTGACAACTAGTGTAAAAAGAAATGTATGAAACGACCCATGCCATAGTCCTCGAGTTGGTCTTTTGAGGCTGCTTCGTCTTTGCGTACCATTTAAGTTTCGATAGTATGCGTATCGTGTGCCATCTATAGCGCCAGTGACATATATAGTAGCTCCACGATTATTTGTTAATTCGAATAGGGGAACCTTAACGTTCAGCTGGAACTTTTACTGAAAATGTTTCCCGCCATCTGGATATCGGATGTGTGAATCAGCCGGCGTTGTGGATCTACAGACGGTGTACTTTCCAAACCTAAGCAAAACATAAATCACAAATTCAATTTAATTTTCCTAAATATGATGAATTCAATTACGTTTTAGAGGAACTCAAAATTGTCTTATATTTCCCTTCGCACTTACAATTTGGATGTGCTTTGTACGAGCACGAGTGTGAGAATGAAATTAATTTTTAGCTTTGCTCTGGTATGTCTAAAACTTGGATGACATCAATTTCAGATCCTACTATTATAAGTTTATAAACTTTTTTTTTAAACTTGTTTTATTACAAGGTAAAAACACTGAGTCTACAGCTGACGTCATTTGTAAGGAAAACCTTTGAAATATATGCGAAGTCATTTTTAATTAAAAGTTTTTAAGTGCGTTAAATTGTTCTTGATTTTTTATGCAGTTAGTTAAAATTCTAAATTATGGGTCTTTGTGATGGGAAATGATTAGAGGATGCCACTAAAAATGAGGGCGTTATGAAAGGAGACAACAGTAATGATTGCCAGCGAGTTAGAACATAGTGTCGCCTGGAAGATAGAGTTGCCATAGTAGACATTTTTATTTATACTTAAATTATATTCCATAATTTTTAAATTATTAAGCTACTACCACTACAAATATGCACAACACATATATAGTTGTTAAAATCTTTTCCATTTTCAATTTTCTTACTTTTCTCATTCCAGATTACCAAATAGCTAATCTACGGGACACTGTGCACATATATGTATAGAGAAAATCAATTTATATTCTCTGCTAAAAATGCGACAGCAATCAGCTGGGCGCTATAATGAAGCATATCAGCGGGCAAATAATATCGTCTACAACAATACCAATGGCAATAACAAGAATAAATACAACAATTGGAACAACAATGAGCATCACTTAAGCAAATAGAAAATCAGCTTGCAAAATCAATACAAAATCTATACAAATAGCTGAGAAATTTACTGTCAACATTTTTTTGCCAGAGTAGAAAAAAAAACAAAAGCGTGAGAGACGATAAACAAAGGGACAAGGCAAACAAACTCCATTTCAAATGGGCGGCAAGAACGGAGCTAATGGTAATGGAGGCGGCGGCGGCGGCGGCGGCGGCGGCGGAGGAGGTGCCGGTGGCGGTGGCGGGAGCGGTAATGGACCCGGCAATGGCAGTCTGAACTCTAGCATTTGTAACTCGGTGCTGACAAATGCAACCACAGCTAGCAACAGTCTCAGCCAGCAGCAGCAGCAGCTTCAGGCCAAGTATATCAAGTCCAAACGCCATCAGAGTCGTTATACCAATCTACAGCATTCTGGTCACGATTCCAGCAGCTATCTGCATCTTAATTCGCTCTGGTCTATATGGTATGGTGTACTACTGACACTTTTCCAAGGCTATTTAGCCATGCATGGCGCCTACAGGTTCCTCGGTAAGTTCGCAAAAATAGTCTTTGAACTTATTTCAATTATAATTTATTTATTTCTGCTGAATCCATTAAAAAAACATATTTCAACGGTTTTCAGTTCAACCGGTTCTCGGTGTTGGCTATCTTATGCATTAATTAAAATACAGTTTATCACTTTTTCCGATATAATTCGACCGTTTTTTGAGATTTTAAATCAACACAAAATAGTTATGAAACGTAGATAAAGATAGATATTATAATAGATATATGTAAAGATAGTTCGTGAGAAAGTTAATTAAAAGTGTTAACATCATATAAATAACAGAAATCAATCAAAATCCATTATTAATCCAGAAGATACGAAACGATGTTCAATTTTCTTCTTAACATTTATGAAATCGTTAATTAAACATTAAAGCTGCGGCAAAGCCACCATTTTCCGATGCTTGAAATTGCCTGCCCTTAACAGTTTCATATAATTTGCGCCTGTTATGTCGCCATTTTGCAGCTGTTAGCATTTTGGCTTACATTTTAGCATGCTGTTAAGTGTCTAAATACATGTTATAGTTAACTGTCTTTGATTTTTATTGCTTACAGGCTGCTCGTTAATACCCTGGAAAATTGAGCCCGTTGCTGAGCTTAATCTGCAGATTGTTCTCTCCGGGGTGGTGTTTATTCTGCTGCCCGTATTCTTTACATCGGCGGTATTTAAGGTGAGTGGTTCTGTTAAATAAATTGGGGCTTAACTTGATTTGGGATCGCGAAATAAACGCTGCGGTTGTCTGGGAATACAACAGACGCCCGATGAACGATAATACAATTATGTTCAGCATTCCGCACAGGCAATGCCTGTCTACACTGTCGTGTATCCCTTGTGTGTGTAAAAACTATTTTTAGTGGCATTATTTTTGTTATTAAATTCATTTGCAAACAAACAAGGCATACGCTCCAGCTCCTGGACAGTTACCCTGTCCAGCTTCTGACTCGTGGTACGCCTCAAAATGGCTGCCAATGTGGAGAATGCAGCACACACATAGCCAGGCACACACACACGCACGCATGCACATTGATACAATTGGATATTTTATCCTCGCAGGCACACACTCGCATATAGTGTGCGTCTGTGTCGTTCATGTCTGTGCTTTTATCAGCATAATAAATGCAATTATGGCTTTTTCATTTCCCATCTCAGTCTGACACTTAACTCGCTCTCTCCTTCTAGCGCTAGAGAGTGCATGGTGTTTTATTTATTGTCTATCTGAAGTGCATGGCAGACGATGGCGCTGGCAAAAGCTCGATAGAAAAATACAATAACTTGTAAACGAGTTTATATACCCTGCATACATAAAGGATTAAGTGGAGTATAGTCCCGTTGTGGATCTGTACGAGAATGCCAACAGCGCGAACCCAATTTGTGTTTATCCTTCTATAGAGCACATCTCCGAGAGCAAGCATTGAATGCAGATGATGTTGAAATAAATGCATCTATTATTTTTGATATATGTCAAATTTATTTAACTTTTTTTTAATTTATTCTATTGTCAACAGACGCGTTCTTTCTCGGGGATTCGCCTGGGAGATATGTTTTCAATAGTAAGCAACTAATTCGGATCTGTATACAAATCTGTTGCTTTTGTCTGATATCTCGAATTCGAATTTTGAAGAATCCCATAAAAGTAAATTGAAATAACTTTATCAAATACAATTTTTTAAGGGCCATTGTGTGTTATGATTTTTTTTCTTTTACCAGAAAACAGTATATAAAATTCGATAGCACTCGAGTTAAGTAGCTCGCATTTGTTCTCTGTTGAGAATCTGAAGCGATATATACTGTAAAAGCCACTTTAAGTGGCTAAGTAAAATAGCTGGAAAGTGCAGAAAAAGCACATGGTGTATGATATGTTGTTTGGGTGTAGGGTTTATGCGGAGACTGTGTCCTCTGTCACTTTCTGTTAGATTGTGTTGTAGCCACGCTGCTGGCCTGCGGGCTATCACAAATAATTTGCTTGTTTTAAGCCAGCTTAAAAGCTAAAAAACTGGGGGCAAAACAACAGAAACTACTATCCACAGCCGTTTATATAGCATTCAGTCAGGCAATGGGGTCATGAAATTGGTTGCTCATGATTTGCCTGAAAATGAAAATGTTAAATAGAACTATTCCGGGCGCCAACCAAAAGCTGGCTATCAGTCGCAGCACAGCAGTTGGCACAAATCAAAAAGCATTGGGAAAATAGAAAACAGGTTGGTCCTATCATACGGCAGCCATTTAATAAAGCCGACAGCAAAGGCCAATTCCGTGATGAAAGCCAACATTGGTCATTGACGCGTGGCTATCGGAGGATTGGCAGGACACACAGGCGCCAAAAGAGGCACAGGAAACGGTTGCAGCAGGAAGTGCATCTGCACTAAAGGCAATTATTGTGAATTCATAGTTTTTGTTTAGTTTTTGCCATTCACAGCTCGATTGTCAGGAGTCAAGAGTCAAAGTGGCAGAAATAAATTTTTGTTATGGTTAGATATGAGCTAGGCTGCAGTCCAAGAGTCAATTTCGAATAGGAAAAAAAAACATACGAGCTGGCAATGTTTTAGCTTAATAAAGTACACCTGCACACCTGATTTATTGTGGGACATTACACATTTTTATGGCTTGGTCAAGGCTGAATACCTTTGCTTGGCACAGTTAAATAGAAAGTTCATCTACCTCTTAAATAATTGACAGCTTAAAATTTCATATTCCTGTCAAACGTAACAGCCACACCATCATGCTGTACAAATGAATTTCTAAAGATTATTTACATATTGTTTCAGAGCGTTTTGTACTTCTGTTCTTGGCCAAGTCAACAAAAGTATTAACATGTTGTCTAACCAAATATAATCGTTTATTAAAATTGTATCACTGTTGTTTCTTGCTCTTTACTTTTCTGTGCTGTTTTAGAATATTGTCGTCTTAAATATTTGGTTAGTTGAAGTTATTAAAAATTAACATATACTAAAACCACCTTTTTGTTTAATATTTAACAGGAAATAGCTTTTTACTTCTGCTCTTTTTGGCTCAGACTATAATATTCATTTATATAGTGAGTCATAGTCGAAATCAAAATGTCAATTCGATATATGTTGTATCATCAGATTATCGTCTAAGCCATCGTTTAAATGAAAACCTATCAAAGATGTGTTTGCAGACTGAAGTTTGGATATATCTGAAATTGATCCAAATTTTCTAAATTTGTTTAACTTTCATTTTTGTATCATGTATTCAATCTGCTTGTATTATAATCACCGTAAGCAAAGCACTATAAACCACATATAATTTTAGAGAAAAGCGACTCCTGCTAGCTTTGTTATGCAAACTTCTTAGGGTAAAGTCTGCATAGTCCAGCGAGGAGTTGGCCGACCTGATCCAGTCAGTAAAGTTTGATATATTTGTATATACGCCTGGAAAAAACATGCGGCCACAGTCCACGCCCCATGAGATAATGCCCGTGAGGTGGCCGCCACAAACGAGTGGGCCGCCGGAGTCACCTTTGCAGGCATCGATGCCGCCCCGCAGCCAGCCGGCGCACATCTGCGTTTGCGGAAGAAAGAAATAGATGATAGAGCAGACATTTTGGGGCACAACGGGCACTATCGCCTGGCGCAGCTGTTTGTACTTATTGCCCCAGCCGCTGATAAGGCAAAGGGTGCCTTGATTTGCTGGCCTCTCGGCAAGGGGCAACGGGCGAATGGTTGGGCATTTGGATGGTATCAGACCATTTAGAAACACCAGCGCTATATCGTTCTCAAGTGTAGGATAGTAGTACTTATGATGTCCGATGATCTCCTGCACCAAATACACCTGGGTAAAGCTGTCTTTCTCATTAAGATTGCTTCCTCCGGCGACGACTACATAGTTCTCTGAGCCTCTGTATTTCACCGGTATAGTACCATTTCTGAGAATTATATGGTGAGGATATTGATAGTTATATGGCTTAACTGTACCCACTCGGCAAAGCAATGGGCCGCCGAGCAAACCACGCGCTCTGATATCAAAGCCCCACCGCAAATGTGACCCATTCCGAACTCTTTCTCATGATAGTAACGTACGCGAATTGAGACAATATATGGGACATCGGTAACAGTTATTGGATAGCCCCCTACTATCTTAGCATGGGTCTCCACGGTCTCTGCACAAGCAAATCGAATATATAGGCATCAGTTTATTGTTCAACTTGAATAACTCACGCTGGGCAGCAGCAGCTGCTATGAGGCACACCAACGCGATTATCAGCCCTTGGCTAATGAACATTTCTAACGACCCTCTGTATGGTACTGGCCGATAAACCGATTTGATGATACATTGATGTTGCGTATATGTTAAATGCTAAAAAAAGTTATACCAAAATGAAATATTCCAAATTTGTAAAAATATTATTTGCTCTATAATTTAGACTTTAAAATTATGTTGAGATTTCGTTTTTTAATTTGACAGCAAATCGAAATCGATAGGAAAGTAATAAACTTTTAAAATGTTTTTGGCTTCAGTTAAAAATTTTGAAAATATTTCAACGAATTAGGTTATGACTCTTAAAGAGAAAATTAATTTACAAAGTAGTTAAATTAAAGAAGATATAGTTTATTGTATTTTGCTTTTCCCTTCAATATGAAATATAATTTTGTGAGTCTACAGAGACACGTTAGATGACTCTTTAAGGCCTATAGACAGAAAAATCGAATTGAAAAATACTATCAATTTATAATAAATATTAATTTATTTATATAAAAATTAAAATATACATTCTCTTTTATGTTGTGGGGTAAAATAAGTAATACGACATACGTAACTGATACGGAATAGTTTTATTGCAAAACTATTAGACCAGTTTGTAAGCTTTTTATTTGAAATGACTTCAGAGACCTTTTAAGAGTTTACAGATCGGACCGCTTCTACTCTAGCACGACTTCATGCGCTGCATAGCTATTTGGAGCTCTTAAGATATTTCTGCTTCTAAATTTAGATTCTGCTTAAGAGTTCAATACGGCTTTGACATGATTCCGTCTTGTCAGCTGCACGAACAGCTGCTCATACTCTGTATTCATTGAAAACGGGTAAAAAAGGTATTTTGATTTTGTGCAAATGTATGTAACAGGCACCAGTCTGTCGGGGAAATCGCAAAATCAAGGTTTATAATTTGTTGTCGATAATTCGTGCCTAGTGTCGATGAAAATTGAGTATGAAGCTAACGCACTTTGCATTCAGAGGCTTAAAACCTAGAAGCTAGTTAGCATAGAAAGGGGTAGACGACATGGCTAGGTCAACTCGGCTGATGATGCTGATCTAGAATGTTTATACTTTATGGGGTTGTAAATGTATAATATATGTATAATATAATTTTGTTTAATTTTGCCAATACCAATCCATTTTAAATCCGCAAAGTTTGATTGGATTGAAAGACTGGATTCATGTAATAATTAAAGTAAATTTTTAAAAAATATATATAATTTTTGCATAATAATTTAAAAATGTGTTTTATTTTATAAAGTTGCACAAGCATTGTAATGCTTACAACAATGGAAACAGTTTTTTTTTTTAAATATTGCATTAACGACTCCGCGAAAACTTTTTAAGTTCAAATGAACCTTTAGCTAGTTCATTTTGTTTGCGAAAAATACAACTAAAAGCCGCCGTCAGCCACAGCACATGTGCATAGTAACAAAGTGGATTGCCGATTTTGGCAGGGGTAATACACACCCATTTGTTTATTGAGGTGGCTGCCTTACAGCTCACTACCCCCTCTACCCACTTGCCTCGCCGTCCGCCTCCACATCTGGTGTGTTTGTGGCAAATGGGGCTGCTTTAGCTGGCCACGGGAAATGCAGGGGGACTGACAACCGCGAAATGTCGGCACGTTTAAATGTATTATCTTGTTGGCTAAATGGGCGCGCATTTGCCGTCTCACTCGCACATCAACACATACACACACACACACACACTGCTGCAACTGCAGCTCCTTGCTGTGTGCTTGTACACTTCAAATGCGTTTCCCTTTTTGCAAATTGCAATCATTGTTGTTGCTTCACGGTAAACGCAATGGAACGAAACGAATCCAAGCCAAACCAAACAAACTAAAAAATATATAAAAAAAATACACCAAGCAAAAAGCAAACCAAAGCCAAAACAAAGCGCACCGAGTTCCATTCTCTAATATTGTGTCTCTTCTCTCGCTGTAATTCCATGAAGTCTGCTTGTTTTTAATTTAAAAGCCCAACAGCGCCCATTTATTTATATGCTGCACGTGATTTTTATGTTTCCCGCACATATATGTGAATCTTCACGCCGTATATATAAATATTTCATTTTACCATTTGTCACGTGCATTTTTTATGCGCCAGCGCGTCGTATGCGCGATATTTTGCGCTTAAAAAATGGAAACCCAAAGCTCTCGAAATAGCTTTTGCTTTGTTGTAAACGAAGCATTTTATTTAATATTTTATTTTCATGTTTTTGCATAGTTTTTTACGTATTTTATTTTATTAATTGCACGTCACGCTGTGATAGTTCGGATTCAGTAAATGAAGCTCTCTGGAGATGTATGTGGTTTTCAGTGTATCCGCATGGGGATTTCAATTGGTCGTAACCTTTTTGATTGTCCCTTTGTCATAAATAGCTTTCATTTGATTTATGGTTTGATTAAAATATATGAACAATCAAGTTAACAAAATTAGTAAAAGCATGCAATGATCAAAATGATTCGAATGCTCATACATACTCATCCTCTACATATTCAACGTTGCTCGTATAATATAGCCTTATTGCGCCTCCTGACTAAGTTAGTTATACCATATAGTAAGCTAGGTGGAAATTGCATTACGCCTGCTCTTATTTATATGTATATATGTTATATAAACAATTGGCGAAAACAGGCACCCATAGCAGAATTGATAAAGTTTTTTATAAATACTCGTCGCTGAACGAACAAAAGAATCAGAGTCGTAATGCAAGAGGGAGGGATAATAATAGTGTAAGCAGTGATAAGCATCAAGGTCAACACAGCTTGTTAATATAATGGGCACAATTGGGGTAATCAAAAAAGAAAAGTGTTTGGCTTAAGGGAAAATACATGAATTTTCTGAAAAGCGCCAAAAATATGTGAATTGAGTTTTGGTTGATAATTAATAGGCAAGTGATTTTAAGACTCTATCTAGATGGTACCGACTTTAGAACTGTGTTGAAACTAGGGAAATTTTCTTGTTTTAATTTGTGCTTGAGCTGTGATAATAAATATTTGTGCTCGATTATTAAATCTGAAGTTAAAAGACCTCAGCCACTGACACACACAGACAGACGAGTGGACGATAAATACAAATTCCTTTGAAATTTGTACTTATTATGTCCTACAAAGAATTTGTTTTACATTGCTTAAGCTAATCTCACAAACCGATTATCTGGTTGCTACTCTGAAATTATATATTTATTTTATTTTATTTCCGTACGTATTTAGCTTTCTCTTTTTATTGGAACATTTTGTTGCCTTTGCTAAAGAAATAAAAAAAAATTGAAGCTATTTTCCTGGCGATCAACCTTTTTTAAAGCTTACAATAAACTTAGTTTTGCTTGAGACATATACAAAATGAATTAAAATTATTATTTTTGTTTTTAATCATCATTATAATTATGTTTGACATTTCATAAATGATTTAAATAAGTTTTAAATTAGTTTAATCTTAAATAAATTCCGGAGGCTGTTCGTAAAGGCCTTGAATAAGTTAACAATCTGTCTAGTAACAGATATTCTTTAAATAGCTAAAGTTTCTTTAAAGGAAGGCAGAACTTTGGCAACTATTCAGAGTTGCAGCTGTGGCAGCGAAAAAGTAAACTTGAACTATGCAAGCAGTCAGCTGGTTCAGTTGCATGCCACACAGTTGCAGCTCTTATCTGGAACAGTTTGAGAATATTTTTCAGCTCTCCGATTGTAACATACTCTAACCTATTGCATGTGGGGAAAGCTATTATAATGTCGCGTTTCTTTTGCTTGACAGGTTGGAAACTTGGCAAACGATGGCATCAAATTGGCAACTGGCGCCAAGGAGCGTCGCTGCACGCTGGCGCCGCATGATGGCCTCGAGGAGGAGGCACGAGGTGGAACTTTGCGCGCCCTCTGGACGCATGGAGGACCTACGGCAGCCTTTGTGCACATCCTTATAGCATTGTGTTTGCTGCTGCCGCGACTTTTGCTGGAGGCGCGCATCATCGAGAATGGACTGTTGCCCAAAGGTGAGTGTAATTAAGTGGAGTGCGGCAGATGTGTGTCGACAATGCAAAGTTGGCGAGTGTCAACAATCAGAGTAGAGAAACTCTAGCTGGCTGCAGCACAAAAGTATACAACGAAAATTTTTACGACGACAGGAAGCTGCCGCAGCTCCATTTTATCTTCTTTTTTTTTTGTCACCCTGACATTTTCGGCTGGCCTTTATTGTTGTGCTTTTATTGCCCAATTGCATTTCAATTGCGCACTTCCGTCACGGCGTACCAGACACTTTGTTGCAGCAGCCGTTGTTCTTGCAACTGCATTATTGTTAAGCATACGCCACTTGTTACATTGTCGGCTTATAAATGCCAGTATAAAGAGCCACAGGCATTGAATTGTTCATAATTGCATTGGTTGCTGCAATCAATTCCACATTTGCGGCCATTGTGCATTTTAATGAAATTATTTCGGCTATGATAGCCAGCACAATAGGCCGCCAGACAGTCGTCAAGGGCCCAACTTTTAAGTAATTCCAACATTTACAAAAACGTTAGCACATCAAATTGTTTGACCAAGAAGTTACAGCCCTAATATCTGCAAGCTTAACAAAGTGAGCTTAAGGGAATATCACAGAGAGAAGCAGAGCGAGAGAGTACTGTAGTGAAAAAGAGATTGTGCATATGAGCGTACTATGCTCCGGCTCAAGTCACTTCAAAGCAATGTCAATCGCTGGGGAAATCTGCTCGAAAAACATATGCATGAGCCGGTGCTTTCCACAGGCAAACAAAAACAAACGCAAACATGCCCAATATTGCCGCACACGGGCTAACAACCACAGGAGTAAACTCGGCGACACACACACATGCATGTACACAAATGGGTTGACAGGCGACCGGGGCACGCCCATTATGGGCAGCAATAAGCCACGTTATTAACAGCGTGCAGGCGGGCAACCAGGCAACCAACGAACCGAACCAAAAACTGTGCAAATGTTGGTTGAATGAGGAGCAGGCATCAGGAGCTGAAGCCGAAGCAGGACAATCGGGACGCCGGCAGGCTTCTGTTTGCTCATCGCCGTGTGTACACCTGTGTGTGCATGTGGCTGTGTCTGTGTGTGGTGATATTCTCTATACACACACGTATTCAGCCGGCGAGTAGCGCTAATGCCACTCGTAGAACTGTTAACTAATGCCACTGTAAACGGCAAAAATATGTATAAAACAAAAAAAAAAACAAAAAACTAAAGTAAATCCTCAAATACTCCTTTAATTCTGGAACAGTTTTAATTCCCATGGGCAAGTCAGCGTTGCATACATTTGCGTGAAATTTCCAAACGAGTTTAGTTTTATTTAAAAATCGGCATTATTTTAATTAGAGTCTCTCGCTTATATAACGTAACATAATTACAAATTAAAAATACTAATCCGCATGCGAAGTTAGCTGATATATTTAATGGCATAAAATAGCTCCATACGACAGTTGATATTCCGCAGATTTTATACTCTACAGTATAAAGGTATGCGTCCATATCCCCCTCGATAGTCAATACTAGATGACATCCATACACGAAAGTACATTTAAAAGAGCATTGCTGGATAACTGGAACTACTCCTCGATAGTATATCGATAATAAGTTATCATTCATAATTTTACAACAGTGGCAGGCTTATTACTAACATCTGTATTGATATCTTACCCACTCTGCACTCCGCATTAGCCTCTGTCGATAATTGTAACTAAATTTTCTCGATAAAAAGCCGATAATAACATGTGCAATTTTATTTATTACTAAAATCCTATTTATATATTTATTGATATTTCACCCACTCTGTGCTCTATATTAGCATCTCTCTAATATATCGATAATTACTAATCATTTATAATTTTTCAACACTGGTATGCTTTTTACTAACACCTTTATTGACATTTTACCCACTCCGCCCTCCTTACTTGCCTCTCTCGATAGTTGGAAGTAAATTTCCTAGATAACTCATCGATACAAATTTGTCATTAATAATTTTAAACACTGGCAGGCTTATTAGCAACCTCTGTGTTGTCATTTAACCACTATATTCAAGTTATTAGCATCTCTAAACAGTTGAAACTGCATTTTCACGATAGTATATCTATAATTACTTGTTAGTAATAGTTTTACAGCTGTATTACTAACTGTATTGACATTTTACCCACTCTGCCTCTTTAGTTGCAACGTAATTTCCTCGATAAAACATTGATAAACACTTTTCGTTAATAATTTTGCAACACTGGCAAGCTATTAATAACATCTGTATTGACATTTTACCCACTCTGTACTCCATATTAGGCTCTCTCAATAGTTGGACCTAAATTGCCCCGACGATACATCGATAACAATATGTCATGAATAATTTTGCAACACTGACAGGCTTATATCAACATATATGTTTAAAATGTACTCCCTCGATAGTCGATGCTCTATTTTCTCGATATTTGCCTCTCTCGATAAATGGAATGAGCTGTGCAAATTAATGATGACCTATTAATTGATTTCGCTAACACGAAAAATTAATTAAATAAAAACATATGTCTAAATAAATCCACATTACATATTGCCAGCAAGCGTTAACTGCCAATATTTGTTAGTGTTTGCAAACATTTAAAAACTCTCTGAAAATTGAAATGTGTCGAATATACCGAGGGAGCAAGGTAATTGCCGCTATGTCCAGACGCAAGCAAATCAAAATTAAGTACATTTAAAGCGAGTCCGTGTCGAACCCGCGTCAGTTTCAGTCTCAGTTTTCAGTTTCCAGTTCCCTGTGCCAATCGCAATTTCAATCTGGGTCCGGCTGCATGTGCAAAGTGGCTGACTGTCCATATGGCGGGTTTATTGAACCGGCCAGCGCGCAAGGGAGCTGGCAGCAAGAGAGCAGGCAGTTTAAAGGGATGGGATTAAAGTACGAACAATGCCGTCAGTGATGCGGCGCCGAGTTGCAGGAGTAAATTAAAAATGTGGCAGGCGGTCGCATTGGTATCATAAAAACATTGACGAGCTGAGTTGAGTTAAAGTCCGGTCTACAGAGTGATCCATGATGAAAGCTGCAGCAGCAGCAGCAGCTCGGCTATCTTCATGTGATATTTCAATTAATTTCGATTTTTTTTTTAAATTTTCATTTGCCATCTCGCTGTCCGCGTTGCTGGCAGATATTTTTGCGGTCCTTGTGTTGCCAATTCATGCTCGGAAATTACTTTCGCGCAACTTGTTGGCTGCCCAGCCGCACATGCCGTCCCCCACTCGCCTGTTGGAATTAGAAAATCATTGGCACAAATAAAATGTGCAACGGTCCAAAGCCAAAGTCTTAGTCCTTAGCACTTGCGTCTGGGCTTGGCATCAAACGGCCTCTGCAGTGGGACGTTGGGTTTGTGGCTGTTGCCGGATGTTGGTCAAGTTAAGTGCAATGTCTTGTCGCGACAACGGCTTTGGCCATTTTACCGCTTGTCTGCACAAGCCTGCGCTCCCCCCTGCTGCAATTTGTCAACTTGGTTGACATTCTTAAAGATGGCCTCAGCTGCTCTAGATTGCCACGTTGATGTTGACACTTGTCAGCCGCGGATCGGCGATTGCGAATGGCGCATTATAATTTCCTGTAAGTAATTAATAAACTTTACCTCCTGATGAACTTGGCAGCACAAGGAAAGTATCTATAGCTATGAAGCTATCAAAAAATATTTAATAGCTTGCATATATATAAATTTTATTTTACTTTTTGTAACTTTTGCATTAGCATTAAATCGGCCCAAGGAACTGGCAAGACAATTAAACAGCGAAGTGAGAAATCGTAAAAAGAAAATACTTTTCATAAGCTATTGCAAGTCACATAAAAATAAAGACGGAAAAGAATATACAAAAGTTAAAAACCAAAATTAAGTATACGCCACGCTGCACGCTGTCAGAATACTTTAATTGCGCTAAGCGAAAAATAATTTCTCTTGGCAGATGTCAAATCATTGAATGATATATTATATTATATTATATTTCACATGATATACAAAAAACATATATATATATATATATATATATATATATATATTATACATATATACATATATTTAGTTATCACGCATACACACCGTTGCATTTTGTGAGTGATGCCGAGCTTGATGGCAAAAAATACTTAAATTGAATGGAAACTTTTTTGCTTTTATTTCTTTAATAATTTAATTTAATAATCATAATATACTTGAGAGACTTAACAACTATTATTATTATTACTGATTAACGTGAAGCCATGCTCATATTGACACTTATGTTTATAACCTGAACCCATTAAAAATGGGGATAAGGGTATATTGTATTTGTGCAAAATCCAAATGTATGTAAAAGGCAGAAGGAAGCATCTCCGACCCCATAAATTATATATATTCTTCATCACCATCAATAGCCGAGTCGATCTAGCCATGTCCGTCTGTCTGTCCGTCCGTCCGTCCGTCCGTATGTATAAACGCAAGGATCTCAGAACCTATAAGAGCTAGAGACTTGAAATTAGATGTAGATGCTCCTAGTTCCCGCGCAGATCGAGTTTGTTTCCGATAATCGATAACTTGCTCCGTTTCCAAGCAATCGATAAAAATCTATATCTATATCCTGTTTTTTGGGCAATTTTGGTCAATAATAAGAGCTAGAGTCACCAAACTTGACATATAGCTTCTAAAATAGAATATATATATTCATTTGATGTTGAAAGAAGAGGGTTCAGGGTATCCCCTAGTCGGGAGCTCCCGACTAGAACCTCTTACTTGTTATTTAATTAAAATACTTATTCATTGTTATTTTAGGTAATATTATTGAAAAGTAATTTACGTATATATTATTATTTATAATAATATTTGAATAATATAATATAAGCTGGCCCAGCTGCTTCCGTTCGCATTTTTTTTTCCTATGCTCGTATTTAATTAAAAGTTGAGCCCAAATCAGCATCCAGCGACAATTTTATGGCTTAAATCACTTAAACGGCGTGTTGCGCTTATAAATAATTAATGCAGAGGTTACGAAAAACAAATGAAAACGGTTATAGGATAGCGGGCGTTAAATATGAAGGCCTCTTATGCGCCATATTGAGCGAATAAAAGTCTGCTAAACAGGCGCACTCGAAATCACGAAAGGTAGCAGTTGAGGGCCGAGCTTTGGTGCGCTGGACGTGCACCGGATGTGGCCCAAGATGCTGTGGCCGGCAACGTAGCCAGTTCAGGCCAAGGCATGAAACTTACAATTATTCATGCTAAAGACTTAACGAGCGCGGTCTTGAGCTGGCGAGCATTGGAAGGGGGTGGTATTCTGCGAGGCTTATCGGCATTGCAACTATTACCCACAGCGGGGCGTCGGGCAGCGGGTGACGGTGGGCGTTGCCTGGCTTGGATTTGCGCATTTTCATTACATTTCCTTCATGCAGCGTCCTTCGTTTTCTGTCGTCGTCTACTTCGTCGACTTGGCGCTGGTGTTATTGTCATTGCCATAATCGAGGCGGGCTGAGGCGAGGACATTGCCGCTGGGTTAATCTGCAGATTTTCGGTGTTGTCGGTTTTACGAGCCACTTGCCGTTTGCAAACGACGACATATTATTATGGCAGCCATTGTTGTAATCCCAAGCAAACCTCTACCACAAAACAGAATTCAACTATGTGCACATCAGTCTACCCCAGCGGGCAGCCCATTGTCTTTAATATTTCTTTCGGCAATTTACGGTCTTTTATTTCTGAGCTGCCTTTGTTTGCCACCCGCTCGCCAGGGGCTATTTCTGTCAGTTCTTTGTGCTCTTAAAGCAACTCGCCTAATAAATAATTTTATGAAAGTGTTAACTTGGCAAATTTTCGTGTCGCTATTCAAGTTATTAACTGGGCCAGGCCCCCTTCAGTGAAAGTGGACTGAGATATTCCGTAATCCATAAAATAAACAAATTAGCTAAGCATTATAATGAAGACGAGCGGAGGCAATTGTTGGCCTAAGCCAACAGGATGTGGGCTTTCATAGCTTAGTTAACATTCTTTTTTATTTTATTTATGAAATGAATTATAAATCTATAAATTGAATTAAGCTGATTTCGGAAATCGACTTACGAGCCATAATTTACCAATTAAATATATTAAACGTGTTGCATTTAATGCATTCAACATGACGAACAATTAAAGGATTATCTGCGCGCACTGCACAGCAGAAAAAGCTTTAAAGCTAATGCGGTATGTACAGGAAATATTAATCAAGTACTGTTAAACGAAAATTAAATTGTTTGTGCAACTTAGTCAAGTGGGTTATCAAAGTATTTTTACTACAATTTTTTGATGCAAGAACATTGTTTACCAATCAATCAATCCAACAACATATTTACTATATTCATCTAAATTCTTCAAAGATTATTGCAACAGCCAAAATGAATATGCATCTATCTATCTTTTGCTTATTACACTTGCAACACGTTTCATTAATCTCCGAACATTTTGTGTTCGCTTCGCTTATATTAATATTCATTATCAGACCATTTGCTAGCTGCTGGCGAACACACACACACCCATCAAAGTTCGCAAGCTGCTTTAACGAGATGAATAAAAAAAATAGAAGAAAACACAAAATTGGACCGTAATAAACATCAACATTGAATCCAGCTAAAAGCAAAGGATGGGCTTGCTTAGGTAGCTGTCGAAAATCGTTAAATGGAACATAAACCCTCGACATATGCTGTAAATGTGCACTTAATTAGCCTAACGGGGCTTCAGCATTATCCAGTGCCAAGCATTTGCACTGTCAGCGACCTGGAGCCCAGTATTTAACAGCAGCCAAAATGTAGGCAACACTTTTTGTGGCTGCCAAAATGGCGCCGTAAATCCTTTGGAATTGACTAGGCGTAGCTTTTACATATGCATAACAATTGTGCATTAGGCGTGAATAGTCGACTAAAAGATACTTATAGCCGAGACTAAAGTGTTCGACGTTAATAGTTAAATATATACATATATTTATAAAAATATGAATATCTGTGCTATAATTATTTTTATTATATCCAGTGACATCACTTTTTTTATCGCTTTTTCATCTGCCATTGGTAACGGATAAAAACGCTTGAATTTAAACTTATTTTATTATCGGAATTGCTGACAAATATCCCTAAGATGATGATGTTATTTGGTTATCATTTCTGACCAAAAAATTTCCAAGCAAAATATGTTTTACTTCCGCCCTATAACCCGGCGATCATCGATCATCGGCCTGAGGGTCAGGTTAATACAGAAATAATATATAAAGTTTATTTACATGAATTGTTCGAATTTCAAGTTGCCTGCTTAAGCCATTTGAATATGTATAGGGTATAAAGTTGTATCTATCAATAAAGCCCCATTTAATTAACTGTAGCTTTGAGGAAATTGAGGCAGCTTGTGCTGCCCGCCTGTTTATGAACGTGTTCAAATGCTCATTATCCGCGTGCATATTTATTTAAAGCAAATATGTGGGTGTGTGAGTGTGTGTGAAGGTGTGTCTGAGTGATTGTGATTCATGTGTGTCCATGCTTCTAATCCCTCAACATGTGCAGCTCTGTTATGGAGTTCAAAGCAATTTTGTTTTGTTCCCAGCAAATCAGGCAATAGATGTTGTAGCTCACTCTTATTATACGCATTTATCTCACGCTCTCGCTTCCACTTGCTAACTAACAAACTCTCTCTCTCTCTCCTTCTCTCTGGCGCCTTTTCGATTGCAGAGCAAGTTTGGGCAACCGAATTGGACTTTGTTGTTATCAATAGACGCAATTTGATGGCCATGTCGGTAGTGGTGCCGACGCCGCCCTATCAAAATCAGCAGCAGCAGCAGAGGTTGAACGTAAGCGTAAACAGCTTGGAGCACGATGAGGACGACTACTACAACGATACGATGTTCACGGCAATACGGAGGAGCAGCAGCGGCGGCGGCGGCATCAATAATAATTTGTTCGAACTGACACGTGATAAGGAAGGCAGGAATGGGAGGAAGGCGGCCAAGACGACGGCAATAACAACAAAAACAACAATGCGTAAAGGAGGTGCGGGCACGACAAGATACTATGAAGTGCCCGATTTAATTAATCGAAATATTGATGAAGACAATGCGCGGCAGGGTACGGATGTTGCCCAACGACAGGAGCTTGATGATGACAACGATGATGATGCTGATGATGCTGACTTAGATGATGATAACGTTGATGTGGGCCGAGATGAGGGCACTGTCTTTATGCCAGACTTTGAGGCCAGCAATGGGTATGCGCCCAAAGCAACAGCAACAACAATAGCAAAAGCAGGCACAACAGCTGCAGGCGCGGAAAATTGGCAAAGGCTGGGCACACTTGACAAGGCAACCAGCAAGACGACAGCGGCTAACATTGGATCCATAACAAAAACAACAACTGCTGCTACAAGCAGCACAACAACAACAACAACAACAACAACAAAAACAACAATATCGACCACAACAACTACAGCAACAACAACCACACCAGCAGCAGGAGAAGCAGAAGCCACAACAAGCACAACCGCACCACCAATTATAGCCAAGCAGCAGCAACAATTGCACCAACACCAACATCACAACAAGGGCAGTCGAAAACACCACAAACACCACCACAAGCAGCGACAACAACAACCGCGTCGCCACCACGTTGCTGCACATGAACAAACGCTGGTGGAGAGCTACGGCGAGGAGGAGACCACGACACGGGACAGCAGTATTCATCGCGTGCGCACGGAAATGCTGCCAGAGATTATAATACCCTCGACGCCAGTGTCCAGCAATTCCAAGATAATTGCCATCAAACCCAAAACGCAGAAGCGTCGCATTGTCAAGCGCGCAGCGAGCAAATCAGGCGTGGATATCGAACCGGAGTATTTGTTGGGCGATGCGGCCGTCAGCTCCAGCGAGTTTATAGCCAAGTCCAGCAGCGAGCAGCAGCATGAGCAGCAGGAGCAGGAGCAGCTGGATGAGGATCTGGATCTCGATCTGGAGGATGCCGAATTCCAAGCGCTGCCTGCTGTCACGCCAGCAGTAGCTCCCACTGGTAGCAGCAGCAGCAGCAATGATTTTGTGCGTCTCGATGGCTTTGCGGGCATGTTGCAGCTGTTTTTTGGCATCGACAAGCCCATCGATGTGGCCATCTTTTCCCAGCCGCCCAGCGCGGAGTTTGTGAACCTCTTGTGCGCCTTGCTTGTCTGGTCAGTGCGTTATCCGGCCGTATTCTGGAACACGTCCAAGTCGTTTGCCTGCGTCTTTAGCCTGCAAATGATTGTCGCCGCTTTGGACACTATACTTGGTTATGTGGGCGTCTCGAATCTCTACAAGCTGCAGATATATGCGGAGGCCATGCCCGTGCATCAGCCGGGACTCATACTGAATGCCACTGTCACGCTGGCGCTCTATTTGCTGGCCACGGCGCTCGTGTTGGCCTCCTCAATGGTCATGTATTTGTATGGACACGGTCGGCTGGCCACACGCATGAGAGATCGCTCCATTATCACGCTTAAGACCAGCCAAACCTGGATCTATTTTGCTCATTGCGCATCCTTGTGCTTTGTGTTGGCCTTGGCTGTAGTCAAGGCGCCGCTGTTGAATGATCTCAGCGCCACCTACAAGAACAATTTGCATTGTCCAACTTTTTTGGCAGGTGAGTTAAATAACGTTGGCTTGAACAATTTCGCTTTAAATGGTCCAGTACACTAGAAACTAGCTCAGTAAGAATTTAACTGCCTTATAAAAAAATGGTATGAGTCCGATGTAAATAATTAGAAAATTTAACATATGTTCGATAAAACAAGTTTCTTTTCAATTGAAAGTGACTTAAGCAATAGTGGCATTACTTACAATTTAACAAACATTTCTAAGACTAGCATCGATTAATAAGCCTACTCAATCTTAACTTCAGCTCAAGAACAAATTCAAATATTATTAAGATTCGTATTAGGATTTGAGATATAATTTGGATTAAGGCTATGATATTCTCATAAAACTATGTTCACGAGCTCTAAATAAACTATTGAAGTAAACTTTACAATTAAGCTTCAAGAACTTTTTCCCCAAAGAAACTCTAAGATGTACTTCGCTTAATGAAATACACAATCCTAGTTTTCTATAATTTGTTAGTCAATATTTTCAACCGAACCGGATCGAGCCTGGCATTCCAATTTAATTTTTAATATGAATCGAACCCTTAGTACAAACAATTGCACAAAAAACAGCATAACCGCAAGATGAACCAAACCAACATATTTTTCAAAAATGTTGGAAAACTTATGAAGGCATAAATCCTTTTGAAGGCATAAGAACCTTGCAATTATTTCTGAAGAATGGACAACTTTCAATTAAGAAATTATAAATTGGGTTCAAGAATGTTTAAAGCCGGACTCCCAAACCGCACTTAATTGCAGGGAACTAGCGATATTTTTGCAGCAATTTGTATTATGTAGTAAAAAGTAAATACATAAACATAAGACAATACATTTCAAATTAATTACCTCAATGTCAAAGAGAAGGCACGACAAGAGTCTTATGAAAACTGACCACAGGGCTTCAATCAGTTGGGCTTACAATGCATCCATTGTCAGCTTTAATTGAAGTGGACGCAAACACAAACCACGAAAACAATTCTCTTTAAGCCATGCCCCAGCACCTTGAACCCTGTCTGTAAGCCAATTAGCGGTTGTTGTTTTCGGGGGCATTTTGCATTAAGCGGTCATGTGCGTAGAGTAAAGACCGCGTGTCAAATGACCACACGGCTCAAGCGTGGCGCACATCTAGCTGTGTCTCAATTAACGAGTCTTATGTCTTAATCAGCGTCTGCTTATATTCTCCCTGTAGCGCTCGTTGGCGTCACACATCTGCTGCTGTGGATTGTCGTCTGGCTTTGTCTGACCATCAAGAGGCGCTGGCACTTTAAGCTGCCACCGTTGGATCACACCTATGGCGGGCTGTTGAATAAGGCCAGCGCTCAGCCGTTGCTCATGTCCAGCGGGCAACGTACGGGCAGTAACTCAAGCAGCGGCGCCAACTCAACGAGCACAACGGTCAATGGTATCGACTCCTCCAAACCGGATATGATGAGCACGGCCACAAGCACGGAATTGGCTGGCATGGGACTGGTGGCACAGGAAGATATCTATTGGCCAAAGCTGACGCCCAGCTCGCCCAAGCTGAAGGTCACCTTCAATGAAGTTACGAGTACGTCTGATGATGTCCTACTAATTGGTGACCAAGAACAAACTGATGGCAAGCGGTAAAAAATCGTTTTTTAGTTACAAAACAAAAATAAACAGCAAATTGAAGGCAGCGCCCGTTGTCCGTTCTACTAAAAAAATCTGCAACATGCATTTTAAAACACGTACTTAGTTGAGTTTCATTTAGTTTTCTCAAGCACCACCATTAAATCGACACCACCACCAACAAAATTCATTACTTGCACAGTAAAAAAAACTAAAAACGAAACTTAAAAAAAATCATTTTCTAGTCATTTAATCTAAAATTCTAATTTTTGTTTCAGTGTTGTGTTGTTTTAATTTTTTGTTTGTTTATTATGCATGTTTCATTCTACACATTCCGCCCAATTCTTAATTACAACCCAACGCACACACACACAAACACACACACACACAACCACTTCATTAACAAGTTTAGTTTTAGCGTTTACCCACACTTATTTAAATTTGTTTTGTGCCAATGACAATTATATTGTTGTTTTTCTCTTTGTTAATTTTGCACGTTTTAATTTCCTTTGGGGTTTCATTTACCATTTTCAATAACGGAATTTCCCATTTGCAACAAAAAAACAGTTTTGTATTAAAAAAAAAGTATCTGAACAAAAGAGAGAAAGGAAACTATTTTTGTTCCGCTTGTCGCCTGTTTTATTGAATGTTATTCACGGACTTTATCAACAGAATATTTTTTGTTAATTTATAATTTTTATTTTCTTAAATAAATTTGTATTCTTAATTTTATGTCAATTAACTAGACCTGGATTAGACGTTAAATACTAACTCTAGCTAATTGAATGTCTCGGTCAAAATTGTAACTTAAATTTCATAAATTGAACTCACATCTTGTGCTGTTGCTGTCGTTGTTGTTTTTGTTGTTGTTGGTCAATTGTTGAATTAGTGACAATAACTAACCAACGGAGCAACACACGGTGCGATCACCAAATCATGTGTGTACCGTCCGGAACTGTTGCCCCTTTCTAATTCACTCACACACGCTCTCCCCCTTGCTCTCTACCCTCTACCCTTTAGCCATACGAGCCGTGGAACCGCGCTATGTTTTGCCAGTTCTGCGGGGGAAATTGACGACGGCGAGTACGCGACATTAAGGGCGGCCACCGCCGGCGGCGTTGTGGGCATCACCATGGGCAGCATAAAAAGCAGCATTGCAGTGAGCATGGGCGGCGGGGTCGGTGGCGCAGGTAGCAGCAGCATTATCAGCGGCCTGCTGCATCTAAGCGAATATGACGAGTTGCCACCGCCGCCATCTGTCAGCCATCAGCAACCACTAGCCCATGGGCACACCCACGACTATGCGAATCTGAGCGGGCTGGGCGGCATCAGTGATGACAACATCTCCGAGGAGGGCAAGCTGCTGGCCTGTGTGCGGGATGATAGCATCACATATGCATCCACACGCGATCTGGAGCCGCCCCAGCCGGCAACACCACCGCCGCCGCCACCGTTGCCCGTCAAAGGTGCGCCCATGCCACAGCCGCCCAGCGTGCAGCATCCACATGCCCTCTACGGACGCGCGCCCCAGGCCATGCCCGAGATCATGCAAATTTCTCCCGAACATCACAAATCACAGCCGAAGCCACAGCAGCAGCAGCAACAGCAGCCACACCACCCGGCGCTCCATCATCCATTACAGCAACATCCGCATCCACATCCACATCCGCATCCGCTTCAGCAGCATCATCTAGTCAGCCCACTGGCTCCGGTCACGGTCGCCGTGCACACCAACGAGGCGCATGTAAGTAGGCAACGGGTTTGGACACACGCTGTGTTAACATATGTATGTACCACCATTCCCCCTACAACCCCTAGGGGCTATGCCCAGGCAATGCTGGGTGCGTTTTTGATTTTGGGTCATTTGACTTGTGGATTGCGGACTGAAATATATAAAATATAATGTAGATTGTTGTAGATGTAATTCAGGTAATATATAGATTAGGTTATACATAAATCGAAAACATTGCAAATTTAAAGACATCCAAGAGGGGCTTTGTTTCTTTTAAATTTCCGATATGTTTTCTATTTTTATATAATTAGAGGTAATACCTATCTTTGACTTTTGAAAAAATGTTTTTCTACTAATCATATGCAAATAAGAGAATTTTAAAAATTAGAAATACTCCTGAAGCCGGCTGTTCCGAATAATCGGGCACTGTATTAATTGCTTGAATGTATATTATGAGGATATTTCTTAAACAATGTGGCAAAAACTTGAATCTTAGACGTTTTGTAAAAATAGTTGAACTGGAATTTTTGGATTGTCTCAAGCGTGGATATGTTTTATTTTTTTGTACAGAAGTATCCAGGTCTTCTTTATTTTTATTTTTGGCGAATAATTAAATAATTTCCCTTCTGAAACATATATATTTTTAGTAGACAAGTGTGCTAAATAAGATTTATTATTTTTTATAAATAGAGTATGATGTCTTCGGTTTTTGTAGTGGACCAGTAATTAAATTTTGGTTAGATTGATGCGTAGCGTTTACCACACTTTCGCTGGGGACGTGTGTGGATTGGGACTCGTGTAACGCCAGCGGGTGCAATGCGGCCATGAGATTTATGTTTGCTGTTATGAGACAGCATAAATCAGTGCCAGGGACACACACACACACACACACACACGCACAGGGATGCACAGGTCTGATGGATAGTCAGCCTGGCAGTCCAGCTGTCTGGGGCTGCCAGACTGCGACAGCATCCGATAGGGTAACAGGACACTCGCCTGATTTAATTTCATTTTCACTTGCAGGCGACGAAACGAAGCAGAACTTAAACGACTTTTTTCCTATCTTTGCCCCTTTATCATCATATCCAACATATCCTGCACAGTTTCTGTCTCGCTCACGCTTTCTGTTATCCTTGCCGCCAGATCGCCTCCAGCTCCACACCCCGCTGCCTACGGCGCGCCGACTCCGGCGTGCCAAATGAGGCGCTTACGCCACGCAGCGACACCAATTCGATCACGGAGAGTACCAATACCACATCGCCACCGGAGCGTGCCCCCTCCGAGTCATCCAGTGGCGTGCACTCGGGCGAGGAGCGTGAACTGGAAGTTATTATACGGCCGCGCGTCAGCTGCAAGGCACCGCCACGCCCGCCACAGCCGCCCATACAGGAGGAGCCCTACGGCCGCTGCACCAACATGCGCATGTCCAGCTTCAATGCTGACCCCGTAGCCGCTGCCAGTGTTATGAACAGCGCCACATTACCACTGCAGCGCAGCGCACCCGAGCAGAAGTTCGACTATACGGCCCACTGCAGCACTATGCCCCTGCCGGCGGGCTGTCACAGCCAGCAGCTCGCCAACGGCGGCGGGAGCAATAACAACAACGGCGGCTATGCCTCCACCTCGGCCATGACCAGCTCCATGGGGCCGCCGCCGCCGCCCTCGCAGGTGTCCAGCTTCAAGACGCCCAGCATGCATTATGCCAATGCAGCCGTGGCACTGGGCTCATCCTCGAACGTGCCGCACACAACGTTGCCCAATGGCGTGCGCTACTCCAATCCGCATTTTTTGCGCCGTCTGCCGCACGTGAGCAAAGCTGCCGAATCGCCATATGGACACCTCGGCTATGGGGCCGCACATCACGCTTTTAGCAAGCTGCCGCACGAGACGCATCCGACCATACCCGAGGATCGGGATTCAGCCAACTATTCCATGGCCTCGGATCAGGACTGTGGTCTCTATGTGACGGCTCAGCTGCACTAAGCCCGCGGCGGGGTTCAATTTTAAATGACAGCTACAGCACTTTAGTATCGTAATATCGCAAAAAAGCAAGCTTAAGAATATGTGTACGTTAATCCTAAGTGTATAGAAGCCTCAAATCTTAAATCTTCCACACGCACTTCATCAGTTTGCTGGACATCATCAGAGTTGAGTTTGTAAGCCAGATATATGTATATCAAAGGGGTTCCCTTTTCGAATCCCTAACTGCATTCATATTTCAGCCCTGATGATGTGTAGAGACTTTTTACCAGAAGTAAACCTCGTAGGTCCCGAAGCTTATATGTATATGATTTGCATAAATAATAAACCGTGTAGCACAAATACCCACGCCCCAAACAACTAACGCCCCACGCATAAGGTTACAAAGGATATCTATGCATATACTATATACATATATATATATATATATATACACCACTCGGTATGCTCGTATACAATGTGTAAGATAATAAACAATATTTGTGTTTATCATATCATCTATGATAATATATGTATTTAAACTAGCACCTACGCGGAATATTGAAACGTAGGCAAAGCCGCATACATTATAATCATATATATACAACTACTACTATCGAATAATCAAGACATATTTATAATATTTTGCCCACTCCGAAACATTTCTCTCCAATATAAAAATGCATACGAATTTAAGCCGCAATCGCATGGTTTTAAATCTAAGAAGAAGAGGCAGAAAAATTTGTGAAAGTGAAAATTAAATTTGATGGCAACAAGCGCACAAAATGTACGAGTCCAAAGAGGGATAGCACTCGAAGATCTGACTTTGTGTTCCGAAAGTTTTAATTTTAATAATTAATAAAATAATAAACCATTATAACTCGGCTGAATAAACTAAGACTACAATGTTATACCTTTTTGAGCTCGTGCTGGTCTAAGAATCCATAAGCCTTGAAATCGACCCAATTAAAAATAAAACCGTGATGGTAGATAGAATTAGCCACGCTTCAGCTAGTCGTCGTAAAGTAAAGCTTCAGCATATTTTTTATGGTCTCCTCGAAATATTCTAATCGTTTAAGATAAATGTAAAATGTAATGTAACAAAGCGACAATATGATGATATCTAATGTATGATAAAAACAACTAACTAACTGTATTAAATTAGCTAATGTACTGACCATTAGAAACAAGCATACATACACAACCATTAACTCACGGACTACAAGGCACTTCCCATACATATCTCCACATGAAAAAAAAAAAAAAAAAACAATTCCAACAAAGACTTTCAACTCGAAACTACTTTTCTAGACGCTCTCTACAAGGCTTTTAGATAAACTGAAAAATGCACTTATTTGAATAAAAGAAAATATCAATGTTAAATGGTTAAGGTAAAAGGTAAATTTAAATGTAATTCCTCAATGGCACTCGCACAGTCTACACTTTTTATTAGGAATTTGACCGTATCTATTTTTGTTATGAAGACTGATTAGCATTATTATACCGATATTATGAGAAGCCCAACAAGCAAATGCATTCGCATACAGTTTAAAACCCCCAGCTTGCCGTTTAATCAAATTCAATGCATTATACGATTCAAAACTCTATTCGTATGTATGATAAAATTAGGACATATTGGAGTGGTAGTAGTATGTACTTATTTATATGTTGCCATAGGGGCAAACAGTCTTTAACATTGGTTCCTTTAAGAAACGCACTAAAGCTAAGCATTAGCCAGATTTAAGTCACACTTTTGTAAAATAATTTCTATTCAATTTAAGAATTAATTATATATCTAACAAGAATACCAAGTATGCCCCCTGATATCGCATTATGTGTCGCATCACGGTCGTATTTTTTTGTAAGTCTAACTAACCAACCGAGAGAAATAATTGTAAATTATAAAAGTAAATAAATATAAAAAAAGAATGCCGCCAATGAACCCGATATGACATGATATACGCATATACATACATATACATATACATTAAAATATATTTATCACAACACATAAATAAACAAATGAATACTTAAATGTTTGAATTATTTATACATACCATATATGATTAAAGGTTTATCAATGGTAAATAAAGAAATACCACCGCTTTATGTGAAACCCCAAAATCGATCGTGTTTTAAAATGGATGAAGGTGAATCTCACAGATGTCTGTCTACATTCTTTATCATTAATCCAAAAAGATATATATATAGATAGATATAACTCGGGTATATAAAGCCTGATTATACTATAGAAAAAATCTATGGAATTGATTCGAATCAAAAATGTTTGTGCCGACCCAGCTGTGCCACCAGCTGCATATTCACCGAATTTATAATTCCGTGATGTACCTGTGTGAATGTGTATGTGTTTTGGGGAACACATATGAAAAGCGTAAATTGGCTGCGCTTAAAAGTATGCAGCAGAATTTTGCAAAAGTAGAATTATCGTCGACCTTCTTCGATTCCTGTACGCCTAGTACCTCAGCTCAAATGTGCATTGAATATCTTGAAAATTTGCAAAACAAACTCCGTCTACAGTAGAATTTAGCGACAAGTGATTTTTCTTCGCCCAACATGGAATTGTTGTTTGCATCGTTTTTCGAAATTTATATTAAAAACACGCATATTTGACAGACAATGGGTAAATTACAGTGTACTTTCTTAATTATCGATCTACTTGGGATATCTGTCTGCTTGGAATTTCCGTTGACAAATTTAGCATGTTGACTTTCAAATGCTGCATATGCTGCATCTGAAAAAATGTATATATTTAAAACACATGATTTATTTATTTATTTAGTACAAGTCACTACAACTTTTTCATTACAATTTTAAATTCTAATAAAATTCAAATTCAACTGGAAAACGAGAAAGAAATGCTATCTTCGGCACGCCGACATGGCTGTATGGACTCGCCTGTTGATACTGATCTAGAATAAATATACTTTATGGTGTCAGAGATGTCTTTTTTTATGCGTTACACATTTCACGACAAAATTATAATAGCCTCTGCAAGGGCATAATAAGGTTCCGGTCTCGAGTCCCAAATATGAATAAAGTGATGTCTCAGCCAAAGTCCACAGCACACTTGCTAATAAAACAAAAAATAATTATATTAAATAAAAATATTTAAGACAACAAATGCTGTATTAGTTACTTAAAATCTGACTTTCTTTATCCAAGATTCTATTTTAATTTTTATCAACTTTAAATGACTTTAAGAGGTTTAACAATGAAACTCGTTTCTCTTCGCAGTTTTAAAGAAAATTAATTTATTTTTTTTATTAATGTCAATCGATAGAACTCAGCGTGCGAACATAAAAAGGAAAGCCATAATTTTATGGTATTTATTGGTAGGTTGCCTTAAAAGTATCTTACAGATACATTTTTGCTGATACTTTCGTATCGGATATATTAAAGTTTGTCAGAGATGAATTTACTATGGGTTAAATGTTTTTGGGTGGCATATATGGTTTTGTATCTGCACTTTGTACTTTTGGGCTCATTAGATATTTTTTGTATCTTACTTTGTGTGTTGCCTTGTCTTGCCTTGTTTGATATCAGTTCGTCTTCCTGCAGTATCTGAAAATTGAAATATTTCGACGAAATGAAAGAATTTTTAGTTTGTTTTATTAGAAAACAATTTTAATGAATATTTTTTTCTTTTTATTTTGTTATTTAAATGTTGGTTTTCATTAAATTTGTAGTTTACACAATTTCAAGGTCTGTTTGCGTCAATATTTATACCTTTCTCTCTGCAAATTTTCTTCATTCACTTTGTTTAATATAATATAATTACATATTTTCTCTTTTTGGATTTCTTGTTTTGTTTTTTTTTTTTTTTTTTTACATATTCATTTTCACAGTTTATTGTCGTTTCTCGACCTTCGATTTTTGTCGAGATATTAAAATACAATATATTCAAAGCGTATTTCACGCAGCCATTTGCTTTACTTTTGTTTGCTGTCAACATTTTTCAATAAATTATATATTTATCTGTTGTTGCTGTTGTGTATTTAATTTGTTTTATCAGTTTGAACTTAGTAAATAGATTTTTGGTTTCAGTTGCATTTTTCTTCTTCTTTAAATAACTTGTCATAATATATCTTGTGTTTCATTAACAATTCTATACGTGTGTGTGTGTGTGTGTTGGGTCTGTGTGTGTATGTGTTGCCATTCTGTGACTTCTATGTAACGAATTTATATTTGGAATCCTAATAAGATGTAAGACTATGAAAATGTGCACAAATGCACTTGCCAAACGTTTGAAGCATGAATAAAATGAAGCGCTTGTAAATGACTTGTAGGAATTTTTTGGCAGAAATAGTTGTTCTTTTAATAGCTTCTTTTTATATCAATCCATTTTTTGATCGGCCATCTCAAAAGAAATATAATGTATATATATTTTTCTTATAGAGCATAGATTTAATTTGGCAAGGGCATTTGAAGTCCGGTGCTAGCCGCCATTATTTAATTTTAATTCTTTATTGTTCTTGCTGCTATTGGCTGATTAGTAAAAGCTTTTAATTGTGGATAAGAGAGCAGTTGAAATGAAAGTTAGAGTTTATACTAGAAAAATGTTTGCATGAGAATGTCAAGAGCAGAGTGTATAAGTCTGGTTATTAACTAGTAATATGTATGTATGTATGCACTTCTTTGTATGTAAATGTATCTACGTATCGCTATGTTGGTATTCTGCTTCGTATAATTAGTTGCTGGAAACCTCGCTGATAGTATTGAAGTTCGTAAAGCGCGTTTTCTTTTTGGTTCTGCCCGATGTTCTGCCTGTTCTTTTGCAGCAACATTTTGAATGCATTTCTCTGTTTGTTGATTTGTATAATTGTTTGGAATATATAACGTATTTGCACGTACTCTAGCGATAGATGTGCTATGGTATATATATTGATAAATATTTGCGTTCGGCATGCAACTGTATCCATATCTGTAGCTGAATGTGAGCGCAATAATCTGATAAGTGGACGGACAGGTTGAAATGAATTTATTTAACCAACTGGGTTCTGGAGAAAATGAATATCTTTAACTGTCTTTATGAGCTGTTGTTAGGAACAATACAATTACTCTGTCGCGAATACACATTAGCATTTAACAATATAGTGTTATGCATATAAAAAATTGACTGCTCCCATATGGATATATTTCAGGCCTGTGATATGTTTACTAAATGTCAACCTGAAACTTTGGCCCAAATGCAATGCAAAATGTTGCCCAAAGGAACACAACCAAACGGCCAAATCAAATTTAGATATTTATATATTTTTTGTAACGTTTGCAAATGATACTCTCTACAAGCTAAATATGTTGCATGTGTTTTGTTTTAGTTTTTGTTTTGTTGTGTTTATTAGCAAGCAGGTAACTTTTTTACAGCTCACACTATTAACTTTTGAAGGTACGATGCGTTATTTACTCATTTCCAGCCAGCTGACGTAGGCAAGTTGATTTTGACAAGGGGAATATACGAGAAATATATATAGAAGCGAGTTCATGTTATAAGTCTAATGGCTGATACGAATGTGTTATCTATCATCTTTAATCGGTTATCTGTAATCTATTATCAACTCTGCGCTGGCTGCAATAACTTTTGCACTCTGGGGTCCCAGCAAAGTGTTTGCAGTTGTGCAGAAATCTTAAAAAAATAAGCAGCAGCAAAAATAATTGTTAAGGTTAACAAATTTACCTCTCTATGGGTTTTTAAAATTACATATATATGTGATTTTTTATGTGTGTGTGTGTGTGTGTGTGTTGGAGAGTGTGTGGTTTTCTATGTACAGCTTAAGAGCAAAATATTTGTTGTTAGTTTTGTTAATATAATGCATGTTTTGGGTTTGTTTTGCGTGTGTGTGTGTGTGTGTGTGTTTATTTGCTTGTTTTATTAAATTAAATTTGCTCAATCGTCACGTTTGATAAATATTTGGTTTGGATTAATGCATATCTCATATATCATATATCTCATTTTAGTTACTTTATGATTAACTTTAAGTTTAATTTTAAGTTTATCGTAAGTTAGGCTTATTTAAGTGTTAGTGGTTCTTTGCTTGCTTAAATTTTAGTTATGTATATGTATATATGTGTATACATATATCGTGTATAGTATATACTCGTAAACATTTTGCATCTCTTGAAAATCTATAACTTTTATTTATTGATTTCGATTTATCTATTAAACAACTTGCTTCTGCACTAAATCCTCACTTCTTTTTCCTCCTCCTCATTATATATATATATATATATATATATTTTTGTTTTTTGTTTTACGATCTCACTGACTTAGCTTTAGGTGTATGACCGACGTTAGCACTTTTTCTTGTTTTTGTGTGTGTGTGTATTTTCATTTTAATAATCGTTATTAATTATAATAATAATAATAATAATAATCGTAGTATGAAAATAATAGATATCTTAAGTGTGTAATAAAAATTCTTTCAAATATGCATTAATTTACAAATTTCCGTCCATTTTTGTTTTCTTCTTTTTTGTTTTCTTTTCTTTTATGTCAAATAGTATCATCAATCATATTTATTTATAATTTTATGTAGCTTGTATCTTGAATTTTATAGTTAAGTTAAATCATTTACTGCTCTGCTTGTGTTCCAAGTTTGGTTTTAAATGCATTTGTTTTCATGACTTACAAAATTAACTAGTTCCTTATACTTTTATGGAAATCTCTCGGTCATAGAATACAACAAAAATAAATTAATTTACATACATATTGGACATAGATTAGGCCAGCGACATGCCGATCGGGTATTTGGTGGTTCCAGTAGCTCCTCCAGAGACTCCCGCTACCAACAAAGCTGAGCAGTGCCCGCCGGCTGACCTTGGTCCTTTGCTATTTGGCTGCCTGGCTGGCAGCTCTCTGCAAGGGTTACTGCAAGGGTTATCATGTAAGATTAGTGACAGCTTCTCAGGAGGTTCTTTTGTTATATGTATTGTTAGTTGTTTGTTAGCGGGCAAATTGGGAGCTGTTTGTATTGTTATTGAATATCAAAATGGCAAAATGTCTTTACTAGCGCGTTATACAGAAAGCTGCTAAATAAAAAAGAGTTGAATTCTTATGCAATAATTGAGAGAATAAAATTGTTATCGATAGTTATTTTTAAATTGTGTGTGCACTTACAATTCAGTTCGTTTGCAAGTTTGGAAATTTGTTTGTGCTTGGTGCTTTAAAGTGTTTTCACTGTAGCTGGAAAGTGTTATTCACCCTGCTCCTCCATTATTGATTCACCGGCCCAAACAATCGGACGACCCTGATGTGGGTACACATTCGAAAATAGTATTGAAAATTTGTAATCTAAAAGTTTCATTGACTCTAACCCTAATATGATTTTAAAATAAATTTATATATTTTTCTATATACATATATGCCTATATATGTGTAGCTATATAGACAGCTAGCCGAGATTTGCCATTTTTTATGCATTCATGTTGTATGCTGGAGTACGAGGTTTGATAAGGCATGTTGAAATATGTGTGGAGTTGTTAGCTGATTAGGATAACAATGATCAATCATCAATTGATTGAAATATGGTGTAAATAATAAGATGCGATTACGATTATGTTAACTACACATGCAGTAGAAAAGTACTTTGCTTTCTTTTTAAGATTTCGTGGTTTTCGTGTTTAAGGGTGTGTTGTTCAGGTAGTTGGGGATAGAGAAACATACCTATATGAGTATTGTACGAGTCTATAAAAAACTACGTTGAAGTTGTATGCTATGCCAAAAACGTAACGGTAACGGTGATTTAAGGTGACTTTACGAAAGGTTTTGACTTTCATATAAAACGTTTTCTTTTTTTTTTTTTTTTTTGATTTCTTTTTCATTCATTTTGTAAATGTTTTTAACGGTACATAATGCAAATTTATGTTGTTGCTGCCTCAGATCAAAATATATATATATATATATACATATATTAATGGGTATGTGTATGTGTATGTGTGTGTGTGTGGTGTGCTTTTGGTATATTTAATTGGTATTTAAGCTAACTAAAAACAAATGCAAAACATGTATGCAATCAACTTGTTTTCGCTTTTAACTATTAGCATTTTTTAAATAAGTTTTTTTTTTTGTGTATTTAGTTGTTTGTGCTTGTACAGATGTTTTGTGACTCACTAAGCTACAAAGTTAGAGTATTTTTTTGTTGGTATGTTTGTAAATTTGTTGTTTTGTTACTGAATACTGAAAAATATGTAGCTACGTAAATGCATGTATAAATGTAATTATACATGCATGTTATTTAATATGCATGTGTTGTGGTTTTTGTTTTTTTTTATTATGTGTATTTTCAACTTGCAACTCGATCACGAGTTGAGTCTTTTACGTTTTTATTGAGTTGATAGTTAGATTTGAGTTGAGTTGAGTTGAGTTTTAGTTCAGAGTTTGAGTGAGTCGAGTGAAGCTATTGATGAGCGCCTAGAGCCTAAGCCTATATTAGTGGGACAACTGACCAGTGAGGTGGTGCCAAAGAGTTTGTACCATCCAATAACGATATTCGATAGATTCAGATCGTCAAGCATTATCTGTGCTACGCCCATAAACACTTTCTTTTCAATGCGTCCATAGTCACCCCAAACGGTCACCTATAATTAGTCAAATATTATAATGATGATCAAAATATTTAACAAAAAATATCTGTATTTACTCACCTGCAATACGCAACCAGTGTACGACTGCTTGAAAACCAATTGCTGCTGATAGAGCGGATCCAGAGTTCGTCGCGCCGTCGAGGTTTTCATCTTGTCAATGCAACGCTTGCCCGACACCAGATACACCTTCACATAGGGCGCGGGCAGCATTTTCGACGAGGGCTTTTGCTGCAATTGAAATGCTGGAGATACTTTTCTCGTTTCGATCTATTTAAATGTTTGAGTAACCTGCAGGCCCCTGGCACGTATGACCTCCACCTCGAGGAATCCCTTCTGATGGCACAGCGATAACTGTATATCTCCCAATGAGGGCGCGCCTAGCACCTGACGACCCACCAATTGACCGGGTCCCAGGCCATCCACAAACTCATTGAGCGCCCCGTCATTACGAAGTGAAGGCGAAAATCTATTTGAATTTTCATTTTTTTTTTTTTTTTTTTTTTTTTTTTTTTTTGGTGTCGATAGAAGTTTATTGGACTTTAGTAAAGATTCGACATAAAATTATCATCACATAGATATAATTGAAAATGTTCAAAAAAAAAAAACATAAGTTCAAGATTTCGAGAAAGAAAGAACTCTTATAGCCTGGTTCCACTGAATAACTATTCTTTGAATCTCTTCTATATCAAGTAGTGGTAGCCATAGAAATTTAGATAAGCTTAAGGGGCTGGTATCATCGAGGAATGGACTGCCACTTGTGGAATCAGGCTATTATACACAGGGAGTTGTAGAAAGACAGTTAAATTGTTGTAAGTGATTTCTGTGTACATCGGTTTACGACTGGTTTTGTGGATGGGTATGGTTCGTGTGGTTATGGGGTGGTTCATGTACTGACAGAGTAGTGCACAGAAAAGTTCCATAGCATGCAAGTTTTTCTTTTTTAATTCAATTTCTGTTGTTGCAACCACGAATAAAAATGGGCAATGGAATATGCTGTACTTAACAATAGGAATACTGAAGAATATATACAATATATATACTCCGTAGTCGTATTGGTAAAAGTAAATGGTACAACAATAGTGCCAGAAGTAAAGTGAAGTCAAGGTGCCTAGGTGTTTAGTACTAGTTGCTAGAATGTATGCTCTGTGTTTTTTATTATTAATATGTTTTATAAAATAGTAAGAAACACTTAATAGATAAGTATATACATTTTTTTAAGAAATAATATTAATAAACATAATATTTTAAGAAACACAAGATATACGAAAAAGACAATTTGTACACGAGTCGGAATATTATACAAATAAGCGATGCAGAAAATTGTATATAACGCAAATTACGTAGAAATATTAATATGGATATACAAAAATGCAGACTGGCTCAATGATATATCTTGAAAATACGTAGATAATAAGAAAGAGATGCTGGTCAATTTGGACACAAATAGATAAATAACATGTTCAGAGAGAGAGAGAGAGAGAGTTGTGTTATTGTCGGATACGCGATTTGCAATAGATTTAAGACAGAGAGAGGCAGAAAGAGAGAGATAGAGAGAGAGAGTGAGAGAGAGGGAAAGAGAGAAGGAGAGAAGGAGAGAGAGAGAGCGATACAAATAGCCATATACAAAGGCAATTTAAATGGGACGTGGAAATTGTGACAGAGAGAAAGAGTCGTAGGCAAAAAGAGCAGAGTTCAAAGAGAGTTCGAATGTCAGAGTACTTCAAGTATTTTGTTGTTGGTATTTTAGGTTTTTTTATTTTGGTATATATATTTTTTATTTTTTTTTTGGTCTGTATTTGCCAGTGAAACTTACGATGAGCCCTCGGAGCTAGAGATTGAATGTATGCTGCCCGCACTGTAACGGGTGACCGCTGGCACCGGCGGCACCTCCACCGATCTCTGGATGCTGCCTGCCGAGCCGCGCGATTGCCTTTGATAATATGGATGTGGTGGTGGTAGTGTGATATGATGGTGACTAGTGGAGGAGGCAGACGCGGTCGAGCTGCCCGAATACTGTGCCTGATATTGGTCTGTCGAGAATATGATATACATATAGTACAGTACGGGTTATATAGCACAATATGATGTATGTGTATGTATTCAAAAACCAAAAATACAAACAGCAGCAACAATGTGTGTTTCTGTTTCTGAGTGGGAGGATTTGTGGGCGACGCTGGAATCTGAGACACTCGATACTCGATACTCGACGCTGGGCTCTGGGAATATATATATATATATCAATATATGTCCTGACTATACAGAAACAATAAAACAGAGAGTGAAACGAAACTCAGTACAAAATAACATTATAATACCGAAATTGAAAACTATAAAAGTCAACTATAGCTCATATTTATAGTATTTAGAAGAATGTCGTTTTAACTGAAATATATATAATAATAATTATAGTAAATACATAAAATCGTTACAATTAATTTCACTAAAATTTATGCTGAGTATGAGTTGCGATATTTTATTTTTATCCAGTTCTACTTTTTTTTTCGTTTGTGTGTATTATGAATATATATAGAAATATATATATATATATATATATATATATATTCAGAATAGGCTTACACTGCGTAATCGCATATATTTGTTTTTCGGTTCTTTCCGATGCCAATTTTAATTGATGAAATTGTTGTGAACTTGTTGTGTAGTGTGTGTAGTTTATTGTTTGTTGTTCAGTGTCTGTTTTTGGCTTTCTTTGACAGAGCTCCCTGTATATAAGTACATACATATGTAAACATCAAATTCTTTCGCAAAAAAACAGAAAAAAACTTGTAGAAAACAGATGATAAACATTAGTTCAATTGTTCATTTGGTTATCTTATTTTCTTGTTTTTAGCAGAGATCAGAACTATTGATTTCATGCAAATTTTGATACCATTTATATCGAAACTGTAACAGTGTGCCACCAGTATGGCAAAATGTACGGAATATGTGTTGTTTATTTTCTTCGAAGGAGTAGCCTGTATTCGGCTGTACCATGGACATGTCTTACCGCATAACTGCAAATAATGTTTTTTGTGTGTGTTTCTTTTTTTTTATATTTTGCATTCAAGCAGTTGCTTTGGTTAGTTTATGAGGCTGTAATAGATTGGTAGCTAGGTGGTATGTCTGGTACAAAAGTATTTTGTAAGTTGTTGTTGTTGTTATAAGTAGGTAACTTAATGCATGCAAATCGAACAAAGTTCTAGAATAAAATGTTGTGTATGTTGGTTATTTTGTTATCGTTGTTTGGATATAAATCATATATGTATATGTAAGTATCAATAAATGGCATTAACAATATATAAGGCTTAAACAAACGATTGGCTTTTGGGTTAGTATTTGTTGTAAACAAATGTCGCTACGAAAGTAAAATGCATTACGGATTGCGTTGGGAGCTTTTAAAAGTCGCCGCCACTGCAGGAACAGTGAGCGTCAACAGTGTGCTGCCACACACAGTCGAAAGCTTTGCGTTGTTCGGCATTTGCTTTAGGTTTCTGTTTTTTTTTTTTTTTGTTTTCTTTTTTGGCAAGCTTTTGCAACTGCGTCCAGGCAAAGCTTTCGGTTTGTGCGACGCCTTTTGGCAATTTCCTTGGTATAAGCCTAAAAATACGTATCGACTTTGGATTGTTTGTTGATTTGGTTGGGTGGTTATATTGGTTGGTTGGTTGGTTTATTGCGCTTGCAGGTGAACTAAAAAACAAGTAATTCGGAAGGGTTTCGATTTGAATTGCATTCAGCTAAAGCGTCAGCGCGCGCGCGAGCGAGCTTTCAGCAAGCTTTTGCATAAGTTAGAGTGAGTGTGAGCAAGAGCAAGAGAAAAAGGGAAAAAGTAAGAGAGAGAGAGAGAGAGCGCGCGCAAGTTTTCAGTGAGTGGCAAATTGAAAAGCTCTTACAACTAGAGAGAGGCATCCTGCTTGTCGGGGTCTTGACGTGTTTTTTTTTTTTTTTTTGGTTTTTGTTCATTCTTTGTTGTTATTTTTTGTTGTTAACTTGGCTAACTAATGTTTATCATCGTCATCATCAACATTATCAGCATTAGCTTTGAGCATTTTCTCTGCTTCGTTTTCCGAAAAAGGCAACTTAAAACCAAATCGAAATCACAAATCAAAAGTAAAACTATAAACTGATAGCTTAGCATAAAGTAGAGAAATTAGCTAGATAGTTAGATATAGAGATAGTAGTTTTGACAGATAGAGATAGAGATAGTGAGAGATAGAGACAGAATAAGTTGGACTTGTGCGCACCTTTCCCCACCAGCGCCATCGCCGAAAAACTGTTCAACGGGGTCCGCCTCCGAGGACGAGCCACGGGAGAGGCCACCGACACCGGCACCTCCGACAGAGCGCATCTCGCGCGTAATATCACCAGGCAGCACCTCTTCGCTGCGATGCACCGTGAACGAGTTCTTACCCTTCTTTCCAAAGCCCATACGTCTTTTACGACCTTTGAGTATGGCATTATTTTAGTATGTTTTTGTATTTTTTACGATACCAAATAATGTATTGTTAGTAAAAGGTTAGCATTTATAGTCTATGATGGTCTATGGATTAGTTGGGAAACACAAAAACTTTAAAGTGTGTGAGAAACTAAAGAGGCAGGAATGTATCGCATGATTAAATCACTCGAATGGAGTACGGCCTACAAATGCTTTGGTTATCCGACGTATGTATGCTTGGTTATCTGATTAGTCGGATAATCTGATAATTGTCAACAAGGCAACTGAACGAGAACTGTAAACGAACGACATACAAAAAAGGTAACAAAATACTCATACCTGTTGCCGATAGCTGCGAGGTGGAGTTCGATTTTTTACCCATCCCGCTGCCACCCTTGGGCGACCGTTCCTGATCCACGGTGCCACATTTCTTTCGATCCGTTGTGGTGTCTGACAGGCTGCCATCTGTGGGTTGATTGAAGCAGATGGAAAACAAATAAAATATTAACTCTTTTAAGAAGTCGCAACTTATTTTATATTGAAGCATCTACTTCTTCAAGATATAATTTAGATATTTGGATAAATATAATGATAGAATTAAGATAAAGACGCGTATACTCTTTAGTCATTCGAATAATAATAACAAGAGTATATAACTCATTTCAGTTAGCAAGAGTCTAATTTAATTTACAGATTCATAAGTAAAAAAAAAGAAATAAGAGTCATTCAATATTAGTTGCATACATCATGAGAGTCCACTACACATAAGCTTTATAGGAGTCGTCAGAGGCAGACAAGTAATAAAAGCTTAACAAGTTATAGAATCAATTGGAGCTTAACAAATCATTAGATTCGTTTGATTCCTAAGAGTAATAAAAGTAATAAGAGCCATAACTCACATAAGTGTATGAATCTTATGAGCTAGTAAGAATCAAATCAAAGATTCATTAGAGTATTCAAAGATTTGAAAGTCTAAATCTATACAAATCATGGGAGTCGTACAATCATTGAAATTGAACAAGTCCTTATAATCGTTTGATTTATACGAGCATAAGACTTGTAAGCGCCAAAAGGTATGACTCCACATAATGGAATCATATGAGTAGTAAGACGAATTAAAAATATACGCCATGATATTTTTAAAAACCATAAAGTAATTCATGAGTCATAAGAGTTGTACGGCTTTTAGGACTTATAAGACTAATACGAGTCGCAACATTCATACGAATTAGTCGAATCATACAACTAATTGTCGACATAAGGGGCTTATGAGTCCGTTTCGTTTGTGAATCAAACGAATCATTGCAATTATACGAATGAGTAGTACAAGTCATTTAGAGCCGTACAATTTCTAAAGCCCATACGAATAAAAACAGTCATAATAGTCGTATGATTCATAAGGATTCATACGATTCAAAGGATTCGTAAGAATCATGCGAGTTATAAAAGTCACACGAATCATTTGGATTATGTAAGTCATAGTCAACACTAGGGTTGTATAAGTCTTGCCGTTTCGAATGAGTTATACAAGTCAACCATTCCAAGTTATACAAGTCAAGAATTAGACTAAACATTGGAATCATAGCACTTACAAACTTTATAAAAAGCGTAGATTTTCAAACAGATTTTATGTTTATGGGCATCACACCTCCAAATGCAGAAGGGCTCTCGCTTATCTAAAATAGTACGATGTATGGACTAGGTAGGATAATCTACTTACCGACTTTCTCCTCAGCTTCGGCACCACCTTCGACTGATTTGGCGCCGCCGGGCTCATTGATGCCGTTCTTCTCTTTGTCGTATTCGCTGAAGTCATCGTCAAGCATTGCATCAATTGCATCCCAGTCGATAACATCGAGCGGAGCATCCGCATCCACGTCCGCATCCGGATTGGTATTGGCGGTTGTTGTTGTTGCGTTTGGTTCATTCGTGTTATTTGTATTTGTTGTTGTTTTTGTTGTTGTATTTGTGGCAGTTGTTGTAGCAGTCGTTGCCGTTGTTAACGTTATTGTTGTTGTTGTCGTTGTTGCCGCAGCATTCGTTGCATTCGAAGATGTGTTTGTTGTTGTTGTATTTGTGATGAGATTTGTGCATGTATTTGGTGTTTGTTGTTGTTGTAGTTGTAGTTGTTGTGTGGGATTTGTTGATGTTGCGTCATGGGTCAAGTTGTTGGCGTCGTTTGTTGTTGTGGTGTTGTGTATTGATGATGGGGCACGTTTATTGGGTGATGCATTTGTTGTTGTTATTGGTTGATTAGCGACACCATGATGTTGTTGTGGGGGATTTGCAAAAGAGGAAGAAGAAGCATTATTAGCATTATTACCATCGCAGACGATATTACCAGCAGCGGCAGCTGCGGCAGTTGTTGCACCACCGCTCCCACTACTAGATTTCGTCAGTTGCTCCGATGCCGATGCCATCAATCCGTTCATGGCGATGCCTTCTTTCCCTTTTTGCCTAGCTGATTGTTGTTGTTGTTGGTTGTAGTTGTTGTTGTTGTGACTTTGACTAACACTAACACTACTCGCTGCTTGGCTATTGTGGTTGGTGTTGTGGCTACTGTTCTGATTGTGGTTGTATGTACTGTTCTGTGCCCCTCCCCCGACACCGATACCGTTCTCATTCCCGACACCAGCACCTGCCTCCATGGGCGAAAAGTTGTGCGCATTTTGCGCACTGGGTGGATGCGGAAGATTGCGCCGCCGCTTCATATAGGGCGCCGCCGGACCGTATAGCTTCTGCTGGCTGGTGCGCTGCAGATCGAGGGACATGTGATTGCGTGCATCGGGGCCCCGACGATGCGGGCCCCGAAAGAGCGAGGGTGCTACGCCTCGACGCGCCCAGCCCACATCCGAGTCGTAGGTAATGGTCACGATCTTGTCGTCGGTGACCAGAAAATGCGAGTGACTCAGCGGATTGGCAGCGTCCACATTGGCGCCCATATACGACTGGCGTATGTTCGTCTCGGAGCCGTAGCGACGTGAACTGGGCAACTGTCCTTCGCTTGGATAGGTCAGTATCTCATGCGGTGCTACCTCATCCTCATAACGTATGCGTCGCCGACCCCAGCTCTTCGTATGCAGATCGTCATAGTCCAAGGAACGCGACTGACCCTCGTGGAACATGCGGCGTCGCTCCAGTTTGGGTTTCTTCAGAATCGACGTGGGCTGAGCCCGGGCAGTGGCTTCTGCTATAGGCACAGCTGCGACCAGCGCATCCTCACTGAGCTGGCGCGATAGCCGCAGCACGGATTGTGTGGGTAGCGGGGGATGCGGCGCTAGCTGCGACTTGGCGCGCCGATGAGCCGTCGGAGTGGGCGTATGCACATGATAGGTTGGAACAATGCCCAGATTGAGCTGCGGCCCGGTTAGGCCGCCCAGAAAATGCTGGTCAACGCATTCACCGCACATGGCCGGATCCATGGTGGGCAGCGAGGGTTCCGAGCTGCTCGGCTGGTACATGGAGAGGGAGGGACGGCGCAGCAGCTGCTCGGCGCTATAGGGATACGTAATGGGCTGGTGCTGCGGATGGGGATGCGCATCGACCAGACAGCAGGGATCGGCACAGGCGCCAATGGCCAGTCCGGGCGTCGCCAGGGCGGTGTTCGTGGATAGCACCACGGGCTGGCTGCCATTCTGGCAGTGGCTGCAGCTATTGTCCAGATGATCGCGCACATAGCCCACATAGGAGCTGGGCGACGAGGACACTGTGTGTGCATGGGCATGGTCGTGGGCGGGCGCCGCAGTTGTGGAGCTGCGAAAGAGATTCATGACGGGCGTGGTATAGCGCTTGAATTGCTCAAAGCTGGGCAGCGGCAGCGGCAGCGCATAGGCGTGGCTGTGGGCGTTCGCATGAGTGGTTGCGGTGGCGGTGGCGGGGGCGAGCTGGCGTCCGTTGTGGCGTCGTTGGTAAATGTTGGCAATGCCAGGCGGCGGAATGAATGTGTTGGGCAAATGAGGCGAATAGTAGTCACAATGCGAATGGAAATGTGGTTCGTGTGGTTCAAGCGGAGACGTCTCCTCCGCCACCAGGGCTGGCTCCACGAAAAACTGTTCGACCAGTTCCCCGCTATTAGTGTCCGTCACAAGCACATGCTGAGTGGGCATTGGCAGTGTTGTGGTTGCTGTAATTGGTGCTGCACCACTGAGCCCCAGCAGGGCGGTATTCGGCGGCGAATCGGCGGCGGCCAGAGCCGCCAACTGCTGCAGCTGCTCCAACTGCTCCAGCAGCAATAGCTGCTGAGTGCCGCCGCTAGACAGATAGTCGCAGTCATCCACCTCGATCGTGTTGGCGCGGTGGTGCTCAACGGGGTAGAGCTTTAGACCAGTAACAGGGCCGCCCACGGCGCCGCTTAGTAAGCTATTTTGGGCGCCGAAAAGATTGCGCCAGTTGCGTGAAAAGCTGACGGATATTTTTGGTATCGGTAGCCATTGGGGGGTAGCCATAGGTGGGTCAATGTGGTTGAGTGTTGGTAAGATTTCGTTGTTTGTGTTGGGGATTTTTTTTTTTTTGTTCGTTTTCACATGCAATGATAACGTGCAGAAGACAGCCCAGTGCGCGTGGTGGGTTTGTGGTTTTGTGGCAGTGGTTGTGGTGAATTCGATTTTATTGGAATTGTGACAAATAACGAATAATCGTTGGCAAATGCAAGCGATGGTTGGCGTCCGAGGTCAGTGAGTGTTGTTTGTGGTGAGTACGGTTTTGTTGGATTCGAGTGGTGAGTTGATATTGTTGTGGTGTGAGAGTGTCGTGAAGAGCACGCAAGAGAAGCATTGAACACAAAAGAGAGAGCAGCGCGCGTCGAACGTTGAGCGATTTTTGTTTATTGCATTTTGTTATTAAGTTTTGGTTGGTTGGTTTCCAAAAAAAAAACAAAAAGTAAATGCTTTTCGGATTACCTTACTTTCGTTAACTGTTGAGTATGGTAATCAAAGTGTGTATGTTTGCGTGTATGTGTGTGCGTTGTGTTGTGTTCGATGTACGCTTGTGTCAAAATAATGCGGTAAGCGCGATCTTCTGATTCGGCTTTGCAACTTATTCAGAGCCTAATTGACGGGGAAATTTTGGATTTTGTAGCTACTACTGGAAATTTGGTACCAATTTGTGTGTATAGCCCAGAACGTAATTTCAGCGTAATTTTGGCATGGCTTGGCGACTATAACGAAGCGGACGCGGGTGCTGCACGAGGCGCCGAGTTCCTGCTCGGCCAACTCACCTGAGTCCGCGTGAGGTGCGCGGTCGCTCCGACTGCGTGGAAAAAGCACTTGACGTCACACTGACTACCGACTCCATATCCGAGTCACCGAACTCGGCCATAAAGTCCTTGTCCGGCGACAACGAGTGCCGTGGCCGCGTACGCGTATCCATCGATTGCAGATCACTGTCGGACAGTCCTGTGTAGTGACGCTCCCAGCCACCCATGCCGGTGCTACGATACGTAGCCTGATGGTGTGGCTGTCGTGTGCGATGTCGACCAAAGCGGCTGCCCGAGGCCAAACGCTCGTCAAAGTCCTGACCCAGTCGATCGCGCAACATGGCGCTGCGAGAGGTCTGCGGCACCTGATTGTAAAAAAGAGGATATTAACTAAGTCATCTCCAGTTACGCAAAGGGATCTTTAACTAAATAGTATTTAACTTTACGCTAAACGCTTTTAAAAGCAAAAATGCAGTTTCTTCTACTGAATCTTCTTCCCTAGGCTTTAGAGAGAATGGAAATGATTCTTTTATAACTCATGCTCCAAAAGTGAAGTCTATTACACCAGTTATTCTAACAAGGGGTGTTTACTGTCTTTTAAGCTATACAAATATGATTAAAAAGGATTTATTAAAATCTTTGACAATAATTCACGTGAAGCTTATCTATAGCTTAAGTTCCGAGAGAAAATAGGCTTTTCGACTTTTCTCAGTGTATTCTAAAGTTTAACCTCGAGGACAGAGACAATGCTCCATACAAAATACTCCTTGGCTGTTGAATAAAGACGACTACGACTAGAATCGAGCTGTGCTGAGCGCGAAATAGCCAAATCTAATCTGTCTGTGGAAATGACTCGAAACAATCAGCTGGAAGCTTTGGCGTACCTGTGGCAGTTGCCGCTTCTTGGGCGAACCAGTGGGCGTGGCAGTCGCGGAGCGGGACTGAAAACGATGCTGCTGAGTCGCCTGTGCCGCCGCAGCTGCGCTGCCGCCGCCGACGTACGCTGCGGCGTTGGGTGAACCGTGAATTGGAAGCACTGGATAGTCAATATAACGGTCGTCTGGCGGCGACAACGATCCTCGCCTTGGACTGTTGCTTCTGTAGCCGTAGCCTGAGCCGGGATGTCCTTGGTGTACACCGCCGCCGCTGCCTCCTACACTATGGTAGTTGTCACTGGGAGCTGCCGAGTGGCTGCGCTGGCTCAGGCTCATGCCACCTGGTCCAATGGCGGCACCGATACCATTACCAACGCCGCGTCGATAATAGCCCGTAGCAGATGCCTGCTGGGCCGCGAAAGAGCAAAGAAAACGAAGCATACATTAGTTGGGCGGGCTGATGAGAGAGTAACAGAAGCTTCAGGCTTTTGCCGGTTCACAGCCGGCTCTGGAGTCCAACAGGCACGAGAGCTTATGGGCTAGGCATGTATAAGTATTTGTGGTATTGAAATTCATTCAAGGTAATTAGAGTTTGTATGCGTGTGTTTACGTGTGTGTCTGGGTGTGTGTGTGTGTGTGTGTGTGTGTGTGTATGTGTGTGTGTGTGTGTGTGTATGTGTGGATTGGTTAACTGTTACTGCAACTTCTACTGGAACACGGAAAATGAGCAAAGATACGGAGTTAATTACAGTTAAGTAGTAAAGGCAAACGGAATATTATATACTTAGCAAGTTTTTAAACAAAATCAATTTAACAACATGGAAACAAGGCTCCGATCAGCTGGAACAAAGCTGATGCTCTGTTTGGCAACTGATAAAAGCATCGCTTTAATATTTATAAGATAGTTGAAGGCTTACAATTAGTTCAGTTAGTTTAAGAAGAGTAGCAAAAATGCTGTATTAAGAAAGTGCAGTAAATTGTAGGCCTAGGTAACTAGAAATAGCTAAACGGTCTGAGAGCGGGATATGATTACGAATAAGATATATATGCTTTATGAATGCGGAACACTGAAGGAGCTTCTAATACAATGAGATGAACTGGGCACTTTCTTGGCAATTTCCGGCTGAGATCCTTTCAATGAGTTGGTGCTTGGACTTATTTGGTCCTGCTTGTGTTTACCTATTTGTAGTGCTGTCTGTTCTGATTTTGGAATGTTACGTTAATTTAGCATAGGTGCAAACCTGATTATGATAACTTTGTCCAATGCCAGATACTGTGCGATAATCTCGGGCCACCATGCCGGCCACCCGTTTGCGGCCCTGGGGTGACATGTCACGTCTGGAGCGACGCTCGTTTAGATCGAGCTGAATTATGTGAGTTGATATTTTTGGATAAGGGATTGGGGTGTTTACAAAGGAAGTATTTGGGTAGCATATGTTGGATATATCCGGCACATAATCAACGAGGAGTGTGTTTGTGGTTGTAAAATGTAAAGAGCAAGAGAACAAGAGGAGAGAATGAACATTTATGATCAAAATGAGAGAAAAGTAAATCAAATGTGTATTAACATAGCTTTATGTTAACTCTTCGAGTTTTTGTATATATATTATAGCATAGAGTGTATACTGGCGGGTCAGTTGGCTCAAATGGATCGCTAAGTGTAGTTCTCTGTCTAATTGTAGGGTATGTTATGGGAGAGATTATTACAAACAGAAATCATAATGCAACTACACATTTAAGCTAAACACTTAGAGTCACAAAAGGGAAGCATGAGGTTTTCTTTGCTGAAAGGAAAAGCGATAGACATGCAAAAAGCGGGCTAAAAGACTAAATGCTCAAGGTGCAGCTGGTATAAATAATTTGTTCTTAGGTGATTTGTTGCAAAGTTAAGTTTAGATATTTTCAGTTTATCTTTAGCTATAGTACTACCGCCCATTTTGGCAGTCGGCAGTTTTATGCAGTTAGTATGTGTTCTCAAGATTTCAAGTTTACACGGTTTCTTAACCTAAACCATTTGCTTAAAAGACTTAAACTCTATATATGATTACTTTGATCTTATATGCAAAGATTGTTGTTAGCTGAAACTTGATGCTTAAGTAAAACAATAAAAAAAATGAAGAAGAGATCGACAGCGTTGAATGTTCCTTCAGCGTAGAACCTTCAAACACCCCGCGCTGTTGTTGGATTAGTTTTGATTTTGGTTTAGTACAAACATAGAGCTGCGAGTTTAGAGTTTAGAGTTCAGAAATAAGAGCTTAGAGAGAGAAAAATTTAACACACGAACAACGAAACAACGACACCAATTATTAATAAAAAAAAGTGTAATAAAAAAAGGAAAATGAAATGAAAATATAGAACATTAAACAAAAATTACTTTATACAGTTTCCAAATATATGCAAATATATGTACACTGAATGGCTTCAGAATGTGTAAGTGATCTAATCTGAGGGAATGAGTACTTGGATTTTGAATTTAGCCTGCATGCAAAGTAACTGACAGGAACAGCAATGAACCCTTCAGGCGGTAAATGCCATGAAACTCGACAATGGGGCGAATGCGTGATTTGTGCATATGAAGCCAGATAAACTGGCCAGCCAAATAGCTGGTGAGCTGGCCTGAGGATGCTCTGATTGTGATATTAGAGACACATTTAAGGAAAAGAATACACGCACACTATAAGAAAACAAGAAAACGAGTAGAGTTCAGTGTAAAAGGGGACAAAGAACACTTGGTCGTCTCACAATATCGAAATACACTTGCAGAGGGTTATGTCAAAGACAATGTAAATTTAAATACTATTTATATTATCTTTGGTCAAATGCCTTTATATGCCAACTTAATATTTATTCTATACGAGTTTTACAATATATATAAAATAAATATTTCTGAAGGATTATTTAATGTTTATTTTATTGTTCTCTTATCTATTTTATATATTCTATGGTCAAAAAAACCTTTATTTATTGTACTCAAACTTTTTTCGGCCTTGGTAATGAACAATTTTTTGCACTCAAAATATTTTATGCTTCGCTTAAAAATCCAAGAAAAAATTGTTCTATTCTATTTAAAAAGTGATTCGGGACTTAAATATCTTGATATTAAATAGGCAATAGAACATGTGAAAGGAAACTATATAAAAACATTTTTCTAGCTTTTGATTAAAATGTAAGAATAGTCTCTAACAAAATTCTCTGCAAGTGTATGAAAAAGGACGAAACTGTTTCGACGCTTTGTTGCGGAACGGAGATAGAGAGCGAGAGAGAGAGAGAGAGAGCAAGGCGGGGTGTACGTTTTTGTGTGGCTGTGGTTCCTGTGTGTGTTAAAGCTTGTTAAAGTGCCTCTGGAAGTGGCAAGTTGTGTGTGTGTGTGACCCTTTATGCGTCCTCACTCTTGTTGCTGTCAGTTCTTGTTGCATTTACTCTATGTATATGTATGTGTAGCTCGTTGGTATATATATATATATATATATATATATATATATATATATATATATATACATATGATATATATATATATATATGACATAAATAATATATATTTTCATTTAATTTTGTAGTTCTTGTTGTTAAGTGACACTCAATGTTTATGGTTGTTGTTGTTATTGTTGTTGTTGTTGATAGTAGTGGTGTTCTTGTTACCTCGAGCAGTGGCGGGCTGGTGGAACTGCCCATAGATGATATGCTGGCGCCGGGCGTCGTTCCATCGATGTCGCATTCGGACGTTGTGTCCGAATCGCTCAGACGCGACATCGTGCTGGGCGGTGATAAATGATCTGTGGGTGTCAGTATCAGGCCGTCCACATCGCTGCCCTCGTCACGTAACTGTTCATCGTAGTTTTAGTTTTTGTTGTTGTTAATATTGTTGTTGTTGTTGTTGTTGTCATAAATTTTGAGTTGAAATGTATTGGAATGGAACAGAACGGAACGGAGCGAGCGAGAGCACGTGTTGTTCAAGATGTTTTAAGTTTTATGTAGTTGTTGTTGTCGATGTTGTTGTGTGGTTGTTGGTAGGTGGTCATTTGGAAGTTGGTGTTTATTTTTATTATATTTTTTGCGGGTGCACGATAAAAACAAAAGATATGGCAATGCTGGGTTAATAATTTTGTTTCATTGAACGGCTGCGGGGGGTAAACATTACATCTAGAATACCAAAACGTAAAGTCGTGAACATCAAACAGACAATAAATGAAATAAAAAAAAGACCGAAAATGAAAATAAAAGTAAAAAAAAAACAAGTAAAATTGGTTGATTTTCAGTTTTGTGTTAAGTTTTTCGCTCAACAAACCTCGTTCCGGGGAGCTTAGAAAACCTCAATAGGGTTTCACGTTTACCAACACCAACATTTAGGTAAGAACGAACGCAACGAAATGAAGCGAAATGAACCGGAATAAAACATAAAACGAACATAAAACGAACCAAAGGATAAGTGAAACGAAATAAAAGCTTGCGATTTCCCTGGACAAGACATACGAGATGGGAGTTGTCCTGATGCGGCTGCAGCTGATACCATTCGGCCTCGTCGTCGAGTATGTGATGGGCCAGATCAATGACCACCTCGCCGATGAAGTCGTTGGCGCCATAGCGCACATAGTCCCAGAGCGTGATCTATGGAAGGATCAATATATTAATATTGCGGATGAGAATATTAAATATTGCCAAGATGAATAGTAGTAGGTATTTTCAGTAAGAGGATCAATAGAAAGATAGTTTAAACATGTAAAGAGCTATATTTATAAAAGGATCTGTTTTGCGATCAATAAAAAACAAACAATGCGAAGTTTTTTAAAAAGGATTCATAGGAATACGAATGCTCGAATAGGTTTGGTTATAGTTATAGTTAAAGGATTAATAGGAATACGAATACTCGAAAAGAAGAAAAAGTATGGAATATTTTGAAAATCAAATTATATGAGAATTAATTTACGGATTAATTGGAGAATAAGTGAGAACTAATTTGAGCAACGATTGGAAAATCATCTGCATGATCTATTAAAGGAACTACTGGAGTGTACTTTAAAAGATATACAAGAAAAGATCAGTAGAGGATAATAGAGGGGATTAATTGGAGGATGATTGGGATGATCAATAAAAGTCTCTGAGGCCGACGTACCTCGAGCAGTCGACCATTAAGATCGCAACGTCGCAGACCCGAGTATAGAAACGTCTGACCCCAACGTGGTTCGCAGGTGGTGCCGACGGTTTTGGTTCGTCTTTTTGATTTTTGGCTGCGATCGGGCAGAAGGAACACCTGTAAGCATTTGGGTCATTAGCATTTAAGAATTTCCATCCGCTTCACCTGCAGCTCACTCACCTTTGCATAGGGATTGCGCCCGGCGCCGCTCTGACGCAGCGACAGACCCGTAGCGCATACCAGCGTCACGATCAACTGCAACGTATTCTGATCGTAGCCCAGCTTTAGCTGCAGCCGCCCCTCGACGGGTATGGGCTGTGTGGTTACGCCCATGCCATAATGCGGCACATGCGAGTGGTTGTGCGGGTGGGAATATGAATGCGGATGCGCGTGAGCGTGCGATGGCGGTGATGCCGCTGCCGGATAGCAATGATGGTGGTGGCCTGCCGTCGTTGTGCTGTGCTGGCCGCCCGAGGCGGCGGCGGCGGCGGCGGCGGCGACGGCGGCTTGTAGGGTGGCGCTGCTGGTGCTGCTGCTGCCACTGCCGCTGCTGCTGTGGCTGTGACTGTGACTGGCCTCCAGACGCTGTGCCTGCTGCGCGGAGCTGCCAGTGCTAGCGCCACGGTGCCGCAGTCCGTTGGCCGAACCACTTATCAGCAGATCCGGTGAGCCGGGCGATGTGATCAGAACGCTCGGTTTCTCGCGATGTAGTTCGAGCGCCTCAATGCCGGGTGCTGCAGAATATAATATAGAAGAATATATATAAAGTACATAGATTAAACAACACGCTAAATTGCATTTGATTTGATTTGGTATTCTGCTGCTGTTTTGTTTGCTGTGTGGCTTAGACATACACCGTACGCTGGTCGAATATATGGAGATCTGGGTAAATGAAGTGGCTAGGATGAAGAGTCGCATGGCCTGATCAACAGGCCTGGACTAGATAACAAGGATATCGTTCTTTCTACTATATATCAACTCTTGCACTGATACATACACACACACACTCACACACGCACACACACATACACCCTGCCCACCGTCATTGTATCAATGTACCTTTACGCTGTATGTAACGCCCGCCGCTGCTGACGACCGCACTGCCAGCCATGCTACTAGCCAGACCGCTGTGCGGAAAGTTGGCCGAGGAGCGACGCGTGATGCTGCTGCCAGAGCCGGAGCAGGCGCTGCTGGGGCTGACGTTGCTGCTGCCGCCGCTGTCGACGCTGCTGGCGCCAGTGGGCAGCAGCAATGGCCGGCAGACAACCAATTCCACTTGTGCATCCAGTCGACTGTCGTCGATGATATCATAGACCTCATCCGCACTCCTATTGTGCAGGCTGCGCCTGTTCCATTCGATGATCTCGTCGCCTGCAGCGTTCAAATGATCGTTCAATGAATTCGTGTTGTTGTGAATGAATCGAGGACATAAGCGAAGTGTGTGAAGACACAGAGACAGGCACAGAAAGAGACAGAGAAAAAGAGAGAGACAGAGAAAGAGAGAGATGATGAAAGAGATGTGCGAATGTAAATGTTGCCGTGATTCGAATCTTTACCTGGTCGTATGCAGCCTTCGAGATCGGCCACCGAACCCCGTTTCACCTTCTCCACAATGGCGCCGCATGGGCCTCCAATGCCGATGGGCTGACCGCCGTTCACCTTTAAGCCTAATATATCTTCCCCATCATAGTATTTACGTAATATCATGTGACCAATCATGCGAGTATTATCCGCGGATGTGTGCCAATTCACCGGATTCTATAGATACACGACAGTATGTACACGCAGTGCGGATGGTGTTGGATGGTTGGAATGATGGGCGGATCAAACGGGTGTCGGGGTGAGATCGTGGATGTTATTTTTGCATAGATTTTGAAATTTTTGTTTTGTTTGTTTTGATTTTTGATTTTGGTGTAGCGTGATGTCGATGTTCGTATGCAGGAAGTAGAATGGTTTATAGTTTTAGATTTACACCACACAAAAGTCTTATAGATAGATTAGATCTAAAAACTTACAGTTAGGCAATAAACAAAAATGATTAACAACAATTGAAAACAATATTTGAAACACATTTTGTACATTTGGTTTTTACATTCAGTTCAGTTTTTCTTACGAACTAGAAACATTTGCTACGGTAGGCTGTTTGGATATTGTATTAAAGTTAGATAGTATATAGAATAGTTATCATTCACATTTCGAGTTGCGTTAAGTTTGGCGTAATATACCTACTTTGAGAACACACACCTAGTTTCGATTAGAGCATTAATGTTATTTCAAAATCTTTGCGAACTCAAAAATGCTTAAAAATGTGTTAGGGTGATGTGTGAATACAACTTTTAAAGATCATGCGATAAAAGGCGTGCTAAATATTATATGGCAGGTATGGGTATTGGCTACTTGAATAAATTAGGTCAGTAGTTGTGGGAGTGATCTGGAATTGGAACTGGAACCGGAACTAAGAGCGTGCTTGTCGGGTGCTTGGCTTAATACCACGGTCCTCATGCAAAAGCCAGTTACAACAGTAAGCAAACAGTTATTGGAAAATTAAGAGTTGTTATATGTTTAAGCATGCGATTGTATGTATAGTTGTTGGTACTGTAAATGGCTGAAATTCTTGGCTTAATAGATATTCGACTTGGGAGAGAGATCTGGCCTACAAGGTATGCAAACTAAAGAGGGGGGTTAAGAGACTGCTAGCGCTATACAGGGAAAAATGTGAAAGGCTCTTGTTATTGATTAGACGATCGAGTTGAAACCATGACAAGAACAACAAACAGAGTTTAAGAGAGACAGAGAGAGATAGAGAGAGAGAGAGACAGAGAGACAGAGTAAGAAAGAGAGCGAGAGAGGATGTAGGAGAGAGATAAATATATATAAAAGAGACTGATTGGCTGCGGAGTTTTTAGTATCATATACAGTTTGACAGACAGACAGCGATTCCTGGGGACCACATAAAACACACTCAGACTCTACACAGACAATGCAACGTGTGGAAGCCCTGTTTCAGGCTGGGATTGGGTTGTCTTTTTGGGCGCTTTGTTTGCCTGCGCCTGGTGCTGCTGGCGTGTACCTTGGGGCCTTCGCCGCGGTTCGAATCCTCGCTGCTAGTGAATGTGCTGCTCGTATCAATGCCCGAGTCTTTGGTGGCCGAGTCCTGGCTACCCTGACGCTCGGCATCCCAGCGCGACCAGTCGCCGTCCAGTGGCTGGGCCAGCTTTGCGCTTGTCAGCAGCGTGGCCGCGCCCACATCCACGGCCGTAGAGGGCAGTATAGTGGTCACCGGTGGCAGTGTGCCCGTACCGCCAGTGGCTGTGCCGGTGCCAGCCGGCCCCAGAAGTGACTCATCGTCGTGCGCATCGAAGCGCACAGTTTTCTTTATTCTGCGCTCGGTGAAACGGCGCGAGTCCTGCGCCGCTGATGATGAGGATGTGCTGCCAGCCGGCTCATCCCAGTAGGCGGCTTCTGTGGAGCTGAGGGAGCTGCTGCCGCCGCCACCGCCAGCGCTAAGCAGGCCGCGCTCCCGGCTCAGGTTGCCCCTGGCGCCGTCAGCTGTGGCCGACATGGCGCCACGTTCATAGGGAGTGCCCGTGCCTGCGCCCGCGCCGATTACAATCTGCGGCTTGCTGTGGCTCTGCGGATAGTAGCTGCTGCTGGTGCTGCTGCTGCTGCTGCCTTGGTAGCCGTTGGCCGCAGACAAGGGCGGAGCACGACGGAAGGCGCCACCACCGACACCGATACCGATACCAACACCGACACCAGAAGCAGCACCAGGTCCGACAACAGCTCCGCCAGCTCCAGGCGCTCGCTCGTGATTGCTGCGATTGAGCGAGTTGCGCTGCTGCACGTCCAGGCGCGCTGTCCTCGTCAGCGGATACTGTTCCAGTCGCTCGCGATGCTGCAGCTGCAGCTCGTAACGATCTCGCTGATCCGCCGATGCGTACAGTCGCTGATTCGTGTGTCCCAGCAGCCGAGAGTCACTCGAACTGTACGAGCCGCCGACTGTGAGTAGATCGCGCTCGTTGAGGCTGCGCTGCTGGCGCCAGGGATCCGTGCGCACCTGTAGACGCCCGCCTGTAGATGTAGGATGTACTAGTAATGGTTGGCATATACTCTTTGGCTATGTGGGTGGGTGGTCTATTGGGGTGTTAGTACTTAATCGGGGAGGTTAAGACTCTAATTTGTATTTCTGGTTTCTCAATTGCTCGATTTTCTTTAACTTTCTTGACGCATTCGCTGTGGCTGCTTGTCTGACATTAGCTTGTTGTCCTTTTAGCAAATTTTCGGCGCAATTTTAACAAGTGTATTGTTAAATATATACAAAATTTTGCATAATGGTGGTGTCGTTATTGTATGTAAAATATATATATATATATATCATTTAAATAAAATAATAAGGACTTTTGTATGTACGATTAGATGTGGGAACTATTTTCAGCATTAACCAGAACGAGAGCACGGGGGTCAACTTTTAAGATCGACATTATTCACTCCAAGTTTCAGCTTACAAACGGATCCTAACTGATCAGGGATACAGCGAACCCAACACTCAGGATCCCCGAACGTACGCATTACAGCTAATGCTGAGAATAGAACCCCAAAGAGAGTTGTAATGGTCTTGTATAAAAGGCGCTTAAGGTGTATTTATGTATAAGGGGTATATGTATTTAGTGATATCTATTTTAAGTAGACCTACGTTTGACAGAGCTGTAGTCGGTGCGAAGGTTACAAAGCATATGAAGATCATAAAGATCGGAAACTTGACAAACGGTTATACGACTTTAGGTCCTAGCATATAATTTATATTTATGTCTATATACGTGTAGTTTTAAAAGAGTTTTTTTTAAAGGTGCTGGGGTTTGTATGTATATACAGATTAGCATGCCAGAGAAGGCATGAATGGGGGATCATTGTGCCTGGGACTTGGATATATAGTTTTATATATCGAAATACTATAATACCATACTTATCTGTGTTGGCTAAAAGATGTTAAGACATTATATTGTTTAGAGCTCAGTACAATTCAGATTTTTGCATAGGTTGGGCCTTAGAACAACTACGGTTGGCTTGATCAGATGGAGTGAAAGGGAGCGGGAGCAGTGGCTATGTGTAAATCTAATCTGTTAAGTGAGCTTGTGAAGCGTGTTAGGAATTAAGCGTTCAGAGTATCATTGTGTTGTTGTTGTTGAAGTAAGGAGGAAACAGGAAACAGCGTTACGATATCCATGCAAATTCTTCACGTAGTTTGTTTTTTTTTTTTCATTTTTATGTTATTTTTTTTTTTAATATACATTTACAAGTAATTTAAAGAAAAGGAATTAAAACTGGAAAAAGAAACTCGAGAAGAATACAGAAAATTAAAATGTGTACACAGCGCAACGAGCGAAAGTGTGAAGGAGTGGGCTTTCCAAAAACGTGTGGAGTGAAGAGGGGATTTTTTTAAAGCAACAAAAGAAACGGTAGCAAAGTGCCATAGAAGAAGACGCCTCTATGCGCTTCTCACACTGAGCACTCCGCACTCACACACAAACTTTGAATAAAAATAATGCGGAACGAGGATAAAGACTAAAGAGTGTGGACTGTGGAAAGTGCTCAAAAATGAACAAAAGTTTGGATGAAGAAGGAAAGAGAGAGACAGAGACGACATTGATTGTAAAATGTACATTCCATTGTGTGGGTTTCACAAATCATAAGGAAATGATAAGGTAAAGTACACACGCAGTAAAAATTGTTTAAAATTTAAATTTTCATTTGATTTTTTCATTGTTGTTGTTTTTGTTTTTTGCTTACATTTGCATGAATCTGTAGATCGCCGGGCGAGAGATTTGTTTGGACACTTTGCACGACGCCAAAATTACCTGCTGTTGTTATTGTTGTAGTTGGTATTTTTGCAACATAATTAGGTTTCAATTTGCAAAATAGTTTGTGGCGGGTGGGCAAGTTTTTGAGTAATTGTTATAAACATTTTTTTTTTTTTTTGGTTTGAGTGGATTAACAAATAGAAAGAGAGAGTGGAGAAAATATATTTATATAATATAAACAATAATAGTGTGACATTGATATGGCATTAGGTTATTGTGATCGCTCTACTTAGGTTTAGCTAGACTCTAAAGTAACTTAACTAGCTTAAAACTTACGACTAATATTGGTTCAAGGGTTTCAATGCCTACATATATCTATAGTATATCTATATAGTATATAGTATATAGTATATAGAATATAGTAATAGTATATCTATAGTCGAGCGTGCACTTATGTATAAGCGCCTATTAATCAATTTAATACGTGTTTAATCAAGCGTTCTTACAGTTATTTTAACTTTTACTAGATCATAATTTGCTTTGTTATAAGCTGTGGGCAGAATGTAAATTGTTTGAAAAACGCACTGCGTCCATTTCTTAGGCTTGGCACAAACACACACACATACACAGCGCGCCTCAAAACTAGCTTCCAACAGCACAAACACACAAAAACACACACACAATCAATTGTGCTCCCATTGTGGGCCATACCCCTGGCATACTTTCTTCTGACTTTGGTCACGATATAAAACGTTTATTGTGCTCGTAACCACGACAAAATAACGCAGAAACAAAAAAAAATAACAGATATACGTATATATATATATATATATATATATATATATATATATATAAAAACATAAAAACAGCAATGAGAAACGACAACAACAACGACGGCGTTTTAGTGTAAACAAAAGAACTCACGAAAACAAAACAACTAAAGTAAATTACACTGTCATACCAATTTGTAAAGTTTTTTCCCTACTCCCTAAGTGTGACCAGAAAATCAAATAAAAAGGTGTTGGTGAAAGGCTTTACAATATTCTTTCTTTTTTCTTTGCGAACTAGGCTCTCAGTTTTAAATCTATCTTAATGAAACTTTGCAGAAGTCCCTCTTTCTGTTGCACACAGCACATACATATGTCACCAGCTGGATCGGACCACTATATCATATAGCTGCCATAGGAACGATCGGTCGAAAATTAAGTTTTTGTTTGACAAAACATTTTGTTTTTCAAGATATCTTGACCAAATTCGGCATTAACTATTTTCCCTGTGCTTCTTAGATACGGCCAAAGCACTATAAGCATTATGCAAAGGTTGGGTCTGCAAGGGTATTAGATCTTCGGCGTGCCGAAGATAGCCTTTCTTTTTCGTTTATTTTGAAAAGCAGAGCAGTCCCATCTAGTTATATTGCCAAACCATTATATTAGTTGCAATCTCCTCCTATTAATTAAAAAAAAAAAAGATTCCTTGATGTAGCACAGTGTTGTTTGAAAGTCAAATGCCGAAATTCACGCACAATTGCAGCAGGTGGAGAAAGCAGCAGAGAAACAGAGCGATAGCGACAGCAGAAGAGTGAACGAGACGGAGCGAGAGAAGTAGAGAGGTGGCGCCCAAGACGAACAGGAAAAGAAGGCGCAAAAGATGGCAAAAATCAATAAAGTGTACAAAAACACGGACGCTTGGCTGCCTTTGTTGTGTGTGTGTGTGTGTGCTTGTATGTGTATGTATGCCTAGCTTTGCACAATCATCGCATTGTGCGAAACGCACAACAAGCAAGTAAGAGTGCTCTAGTAGGGAGTGCCCGACTGCGGGATACCCTTAACTTACTTCTGCCAACACCGATTGCCAAAAGGCATACAAGCGAACTTGAAAAAAGAAGCAATAAAATGATCTGTTTATACTATTTTAGAAGCTAACTGTCAAATTTGCTGTGGTTTTAGTTCTTAAGACCTAAGATAATTTGCTAGAAAAGCAGGATTTAGACATATATTTTTATCGATTGCTTGGGAACGGGGCAAGTTATCGATTATCGAAAACACAACGTTCAAGTCTTTAGCTCTTATAGGTTCTAAGGTCATGGAGATGGTTAAATCGACTCTGCTATTGATGCCAAACAAGAATATATATACTTTAAGGGTCGGAGATGCTTTCTTCTGTCTGTTACCTACATTTACACAACACTAATATACCCTTGATATCCATTCTCAATCAGTTCAGGGTACAAAAAGATGCCGAAATCAAACAAACTTCGTCTTAGTTTGTTTTTGTTTGTTGGTGTGCTTCGAGTGTGTGTGGGTTTGTGTGCGTCTGTGTGTGTGTGTGTGTGGGGTGGTGTGTGTGCCACTCTTGCTTCCTGTTTTATATTCTTGTTCATAAATTGTAGCCAGTTGCCTGAGAGCGCGACAGCTGGGAGTGGGCGGATGGATTCGTTGGGCGGGCCGGCTGCGAGGTGTTTGGGCATCGCGGCTGGCAAAAGCACAGCAGGCGAGAACAGCTTGTGCTATTTTTAAACCAGCAGGCAACACGCACACAAATAAACACAGAACACAAACACACACACACACATACCTACGCACGTGCACAGACAGACGCAGGCGCATAAATAGCACGAACAACAACCAGAAACACGCACAAAATGCGTTGGTGTTGTTCGTGTTATCCCAGCGCCTGGCCAGCCCTCATGTTCGCATTAATGTCACTCATACGCACAGTTGCACATGCACAAACACACACACACACACACCCACCCACACACCCACACACACACAGACGCACCGTTTGCTGTTAGCGTGTCGGTCAACATTTTAATTAAATTCGTCTCGAATTCACGGCTGCATTGGTTCGCATATTTTAATAGGCTGGTCAACAGCACCCACACATCCACAGACCCACACATCCACACACACACACATACACCCCCTCCGCATGTGGTCTATATTTATTTACTTATTTACAGCTTTGCCACCATATGCGACATTTTTCGCGTTTTGACTGCCTTTTGTGGCTGTCATTTGGCCAGTTGCTTATTTGGTTATTGATTTCGCTTTATTCATGAATTAAACTTGGCTCCAACAAAAAAAAAAAAAAAAGAAATAGGTGGCAACCTTTTTTACGCTCTAATCGAAATGCAAATAAACACAAAAACACAAAGGACTTTTTTGATGGCAAATGACGTGTTGGATGGGGTTGAATTTTGCAGTTGCACAAGCGTTTTTTGATTTGACATTTGAGGCCACAGTTTTCAATATCATTGCAGAGGTTGATCGA